TCAGATAAATTTTAACTGGTGGGTCCCCCCACTGTTGAACAGTGGGTATCACAAGAGAAGTGTAGCAGCAAAAAATCAAAAGCTGCAGAGGCTGGATCTCACATCCTTTGACTGCAAGTAAGGACTTTCTTCGAAGTTCAGAGACTTCCCCACCTTGGGCCTGATGAAACAATTCCCTCAGACTTACCTGTGAAGACTAGGGGGGCAAAAGTAATTAACAAATGCCTAAATAACAATGGGAGTAAGCACCAGAAGCGAAAAAGCAAAAAGATCACAAAATATAAGAGAAGCATTAGTTCAAAGGGTAAAGTAGTAAGATTCATTTTTTACAATCTTTCTAAGTTGCTGGATAAAGATAATAAGGCTGTCAAGGTTAAGCCAAAAGCAAGGGAGATGGCATTAAGAATAAAAACTCCCTCTACTTCCAGGAAGACTTTAATGCACAGGATGCTATAAAAGACCGTATCTCACAGCGGGCTCCATTAGCATCACGAGCTATCTTTCTCTTTCATCCTAAGGAAACACCAAATAGTCCTATATAATTATCCTAAACATAAAGGATGACTAAGCCAATTTGAGGGCAAGATACATTTGGCACATCCTTTGAAGCATACTAAGCTGGATTCTATTGCTGTGAGAATTTGTTTTATGAATGACCTGATACTAGAGCAACTATAATTTGTGCTCATTATAAGTACTGTCTAGCATGCAATATTAGGAGTGCCAGAACTCCTTTAAACAAAACTGGCATTGGGATCAAATTGCACCCTCTATTTGGCCCCATATCTCAGCATCTGACACAGGAAACAGCCGTGCCCAATAAAAACCAATGATTTATGGCAATTGGACACAAGTATGAAAGGGTCGAATTTAATGTTTTATCCAATGAGTCTTTTCCCCAATTCATATCACCACAAACCAAGGAGTCTGGCCATGAGATAGGGAAGCATTCTTTGAGTCTAGAATGAAGCCTTGGCACTCTTGTTGGTCAAGGATCACATCACCTCAGCTCACAAGGCTATGCTCAGTGCTATCTTTCCAGAGAAACTGATCATTCAGTTCTTCATCTGATTCTTTTCCATATGCCCCATCCAAGGGAACAGTGGACACATGAGAAATGGCCTTTTCAGTGATGGCCCCATCTATGGAATGCACCTCTTAGGGAGATGTGCCTGACACCGTTTCTGTTTTAAGTGCCAAGCTAATACATTCCTGTTTACGCAGCTTTCAGTGAGTTAATGTTGCCTCTTATGGTGGTGTCCATCTTCCAGCAGGGATGCAGGTGGCGCTGTGTTAGGGACTGGGCAGAGGAGCAATGGTGGAGACCGCTTCCCCAGCCTGACCCTTACAGAGAAGATGGAGACACTTCAGATTTACAACAGGGGTTTGAGCAGGGGCAGAGGAAGGGGAGGCGCAGTGGGTGCAGGCAGCCCCGGGTGTCACCACTGAAGGGGGCGACAAAATGCCGGGCGGCACTCACCGCGGGACCTGCATCGCGCCTGAGCCACGCGTCTCTCCTGGGAGAAATGCGGTGGCTTGGGTGCGCGGATGCTCCATGCTGCCCAAACGGTCCACCCGCTGCCTCCCCCCCAGCTGTAGGGCAGCTGAGTGGGAGGAGGCAGGCAGACACCGGAGGCCCAGTGGTGCGCCCTTCCCCAGACACCCAAGTGGCTTCCTCCGCTGCTGGGTTTGAGGGAGGTTACAGCTCAGAGGCAGATTGTCACAGCTAAAAATTGGCCATGGTTTCTTTAATGCTAAGTCAGCATGAGTCAGCGGCCTACAATGACTCATGCAACCTTTCACCAAATTATACCTGTATATACAGAGTGGTCAATGTTAGTGTTGGGTGTGGGTTGTTTGGATGGTAGAAAGCTGGTTGCGTTTGATATGTATAAAGCTGTCGGTCGTGGTTGGAGAAGACGACTTTTAAGAATAAAAACAGCATTCTACTCTTTCTTAAGGACTCTTTGTGCCAACTAAGGTCCGAGGACTAGGCAAAGGGGTAAAAAGGAGGTCAGAACCTTTTCTTTTACAAACACTGACACAGATGAGGGGGGAAACCTGGGAAATAATGGGAGAGGAAGAAGAAGGACCAGGGGAGAGACAGCTGATGGACTCAGTGTCTTTAGAAATCATTCCAGACCCCCCCTCCCAGAATATGGTGGGCATTAAAAGTAGGAAAACAGAGAGCTCAAAGGTGAAAGGTCCTTTCCAGCACCCGTAGCGATGACTCATGAGGAAGTAGGAGAGACGGAGGGGTGGGGCTTCACTGGGAGCAATGCCATTACTCCAAGAGGCTGCATTTCTAAGCCTCTCTCTCTGAATATTAAACAAAAGGCATTGCTAAGAACTTTCCTTGTCTTATCCATTCCTGGCAGCCTACCGTGGGGGGATCGGATCCCCTGACGCAGGGGTCAGCCAACTTTTTCAGCAGGGGGCCGGTCCACTATCCCTCAGACCTTGTGGGGGGCTGGACTATATTTTGAAAAAAAAATATGAACGAATTCCTACGCCCCACAAATAACGCAGAGATGCATTTTAAATAAAAGGACACATCCCATTCATGTAAAAACACCAGGCAGGGCCCACAAATAACCCAGAGATACATTTTAAATAAAAGGACACATTCTACTCATGTAAAAACACGCTGATTCCCGGACCGTCCGCGGGCCGGATTTAGAAGGCGATTGGGTTGGATCTTGGGCCTTAGTTTGGCTACCCATGCTCTGAGGTCTGACATGATGTGGTCTGAACCAACGAGCCTCTTGGGCTTGCTGATCATAAGGTCGGCGGTTCAAATCCACATGACGGGGTGAGCTCCCGTTGCTCTGCTCTCCTGCCAACCTAACGGTTCAAAAGCATGCAAGCACGAGTAGATAAATAGGTACCGCAGCAGTAGGAAGGTAAATGGCGTTTCTGTGCACTCTGGCTTCCGTCACCGTGTCCCGTTGCGCCAGACGCAGTTTAGTCATGCTGGCCACATGACCCAGAAAGCTGTCTGTGGACAAACGCCGGCCCCCTCGGCCTGAAAAGCGAGATAAGCGCCGCACCCCAAAGTCGCCTTTGACTGGACTCAGGGGTCCTTTACCTTTACCATCTTTCATTGGAGTGCATAGGACTTGGTCGTTATTCATCTATGGTTGGATGAGTGCTTTCTATATCTTGCATTGTTAGCATTTCAAAACTTCCTTCTGGTTTTATATTGCTTCTATATGCTGTATTTTATTTTTGTCAAATCATTTGTGACGCTTCTTACTGTAAAAAGAGACTGGTAAATGAAATTAATATTAGTAATAGCAGCAGCAGCTATGTGAGGGGTAAACTATAGTTCCCAGGATTCTCCAGGTAAAGCAAAGTGCTTTAAATGTATGGTGAGAATGTGACCTTACTTCATTGATAACTTTCCCCTCCATTTCCTATTAAAAGCAACGGCAACAAGATGTGTTTGACCAAGAACCTCTGGCAATATTCAGAGAAAAGGAGCCCTAAAATAATTAAGAGGCTGAAAGGAAGGGTTGTGATTTGTTTTTGTTTCTTTTAATGGAGGAAAGAGTTATGCTATATCATGGTCTACATCTGAAAATAGGAAATCAGCAAGTAGGGTGGCATGAGAAAACAGAAGATTGCAACGAATATCCCTTGGTTCAGCAAGCAAGAGGGAAAATCAGGGCAGCTGAACAAGCCACAGAGCTACCCCTTTTCTTTCAGTTCCAAAGAGTAATCATTAAGTTTACTCTTAATGCCACTGGTTAATGTTACTGGTTTACAAACTTCTAGGATATTCAACCCAGTGGGGAGAGCCGGGAATAATGTGAATGCCCAGTGCACTTAAAATGCAGTGCTTGTAAGTTCGGTTCCATGCATGGCCAAATATGCTGGTGTCGATAACAGGATCTCGTTCCATGCATGGGTTCCAAGTGCTCCTCCTTTTTCAGATTTTGCCAGTATTTGAACAATGGCATGCTCATCTCTTTTTCATATTGGCAGCAAAAAGAACTCCTGAGCAGAAGAAAGCAGGCGCAAGAAATCACAGGACATCTACATTGCTCAAAAAGCTATTCTAAAGCACCTAAGTAAATTTAGGTCCTTTAAAAGTGGGTTAGGCACTTTGAAATTAAAGATACATTGGAACTACAATGACTTGACGCTCCACAAAACCTACTAGAATGGCTGAATCGCACAAAATTAACCCCAGTTGTGTCTGCATACTGAGCACACCTAGAACCAATCCCATACCCAAAATAGCCTGCGGTGATAACGCCTTAATTTCTTTCAACTTCTACTTTGTTGATCAAGGGATATAGTAGAAGCTTGGCCCAACTAGGATGAGCCTCTGGAAAACTGAAAGCCATCACCTTGCCTTTGAATCCATCCAGATAAGTGGTTGCATAAGCTATTGCTTCTTTATAACAACATTACCATCTGCAAAGGAGATGATTTCAAGTTCAGAATTCTCCGCAATGACCCAAAAGTGACTTTGGGCCACGGTGCACATGGGAAAACTTCCTATGTGGGTCTCATTTCTGTGCACAAAACTGTCTTATGTATCCAAATATGCATAAACACCTCTGTTTGCACCTGTATACACATGCTGGGCAGCCGGCATCAGTTGGGCTTCCTACTGCAGGAGACGTCATATAGGCATCTAAGCACATGTGATGGCACATAAGGAAGGTACCTGGAATTTTCTCAATATAACAGTATCGGTTGTCGTATGTGAAGCTAAGACAGTGAACAAAGGAAGAATGAAAGCCCTGGGAGCCTTTGATCATGAAAACTAAGACTTGCTGGTTTCCCGCACACGTCTGGGTTACCTTTTGGCAATGTAAGCAAACATCATGTATCTTGTACAAATATGATTGTCGCCCCTACCAAATGTTTGCTAATTCCAGTTAAAAAATCACAGAACCATGTACACAGAACAAGGCTATGGAGTAATCTCATCCAATACACCCCACCCACCCCAAAGCCCTAAGGCATCATCTTTTATGCAAAAACACCCCAAATGGATGCGTCCCAATTGTACTGGGCAACCTCCAAGAATGCAGTTTCCTCAACTTCCCCAGGCAGCACGTCCTATTGAGGAACAATATGCATGAGTCAACAAGGCTTCTTCAAATGTGTAAATTTGAATCTGCTTTCCTGTAATTTAAACCCATTGCTTCTGCTTCTGTCATTGGTGCACTATGTGATCATCTATTTCTTCTCCCCTTCTTTCCGACATCCTTTAGGAAATGAATAATTTTGACTGCACCTTAAACACTTTTGAGATATCCCTAGAAACAATCTTCACTAACATGGTATGTGAACTTTCAAATAACAAGAACACACAAGCTTTGCAGTTTTGATTGGGAAGGGGGAAATAACCTGGGTGTGCTTTATTCTAAGACTCGATAAAGGTCTATGTACCTGCCAAAGGACAAATTATACAGAGACAAGAGTTGACAAAAAAACTCAAAAGCACCTAAGTGATTAAGGAACTTAGACTCCACATTTTAATTCCTAAAATAAAGCCCGAGGCATGTAGTGTTGATTCACAGTGCAATAATCCTTTCTAAACTGACTTGCTGTAGACAGCACTGGCATTCTACTATAGGAAACCAATGGGGATATTAATATCGGCTATTAACACTGATCCTATCTCGTAAATCCAGCCTGTCTGTTACCACAGCACTCAAATAAAGGTGTTCTGAGGTCAAGAGGATGTGGTGTCCAAACGAGTCTTCTATTCCAAGAGGAAAGCAGCAAAAACAATCTCTACAGCAAGCATCAGATCCATATGTAGGAAAACCAAAAAGCTGGTTTTAAATGTCATGTTTTTCAAAGTGAGAATTGATGCTGGAACCAGTTCTAAAAACTGGCTGGCTGAGATGCAGCTGCAGCTGCAGACAATCAATCAAAGCAGCTCAGAATCAATGGGGAGGGGTGGGAATTGGAAGCGAGGGGGGGGGGAAGCATGCACATAAAATGGAAAACTAGGAGCAGGTTACAAGCCTTTCTAGGCCTTTAAGGTTACAAAGAAATGCGAGCCCACTTTAGTGTTTTGTCTGCAGTCAAATGTCTCCTGAATGGTTTCCAATCGGCGTACGCACCAACGACCGGTTGCGTTGTAAAACGTGGACTGCAGGAGAACAGGACGGCAAGTTCTGTGAACAAAATTGACACGGCAAACACTGACGCTTTGGGTCTTCACCTGGCGTGGCTGCTTGTCTGAATTCTGAGCTGCTCCACACTGATGCCCTCATGTTTGAATTCAGGGGCAGAAGTAGTGTGTCCCAAGTGAAAGGACAAAGCACTAGCAGGAACGTTAACTTTCTCCCTCAACACCAAACCGGCAGTACAGCATTCCTCACCCATTGTCAACACTGCCATGGTTCAGTTCAGGAAATGGAAACGCTTCAGGAGCAAAAGAGTTCTTGACAGAACTGCCACAGCCTCCATCAGATAAGACCCCTGAGGCCTTGCTATAGAATATATTGAATGGAGATTAGGTGGCCATGCAAACCGCCATAACAACAAAGCTGTGACTAAGGGCAGGTCAAGGTGGAAGAAGGCCTTGGGCAATTCCAGAAACAGTTACCACCAGGCCTTAAGTCACTCAAGTCAGTACTGTTTGGCCAAAAGAGTGTTTTTTTGAAAATAACAACAACAATAATAATAATGGTCACAGCAACAAATTAAGATGAGGGGTGCAACACTTATTGTCCAACTCCTATTCACTTGGTTTTGCTATGCTTTTCAGACAGAAACACTGTTTGATCCTGTGCCAGACGTGTAGGGTGGGACTTGCTCAGCTTAAGCATCCAGAAAAAGTGGAAAGTTGTGAGGGGGTTGGTGGGAGATGAGCAACGAAGTGGCAATTTGTGTATGACGTGTGAGTGTTTGAGACCAAAAAAAAAAAAAGGAATACTCCTGCCAGTATAAAAACGAGCAGTGCAAAACTGACTGGCCCCTGGCCCCAGCTTTTGCATCCTCGTCAAGAGCTGCACCCCTCTAAGTTCCATTTTCCTTCAGGGCATCACCTTCTCTTCAGTCAAATGCATTGGCCCATGACTTACAGCCAACAGAGAGGGCACTGGCTGTTGGTCATAAGGTGATTGATTCACCATTGCTTAGTAAACAGTTAATGTGTGAGACGTATATAGATATATATCCCGCACTTCAGAATATAATTATTCATTGAAGGCATAACCAAAGCAATGGAATAAGAAGTCACCACAGCAATGTTTTTGCATCCTCTTGATGTTTGTACAAGAACAATGTTGGCTCTGGGCACCTCCTAAAGAAGGATGCAAGCCTTCTCGTGCATCAGTGGGCTGCCTAACATATAAGCCAAACTCTTCATTGAAATTAAAATTAGTCTTCCACCCTATACATATATATAATATTTATCTATATGGCCCATGCTTTCTCCTCCTCCGTTTCCCAGCAAAGCCCTATAAATACTAATCTTTGTAGCTTTAGCTGTTGCAGCTGTCATCACCCCCCACCTTCCAACTCTCACATAAGAACAAAATAAAAAGGGTTCTATTAAAATCAAGCACTTAACATAAATATTAAAACAATGGTAGGGACAAAATATAACTCTACATATAGAACTTCATAACTACCGTAGCACCTATTACCATAAACGAAAGCAAATCTGGTCTGACAGGGAACATGGGGTGGGGGTGGGACTGAGGCCACGCTAACAGAACTTGCGACTGTCGTCATTTCAATCACTCTTTTAAATTTTTGTTCGTTTACAGTTGACAACCTTATTAAAATTCATTTCACTAACCAGTTCATTCTAAGTTACTATGGTTACCAAGGAACCCTTTAAAAAATAAAAATAAAAACCTTCAAGAGGATGATGATAGGACTTTAGCAATAATAATAATATTAATAATAATAATAATTAATAAAAAAAAACAAAAATTGGCCAGTGGCAGGTTCTCCTACTGGTTCTCCGATGAGGGCTGCCCTGCCACGTGCCCCTCCTCCTAAAGCCCACCAGTCCACAGAAGGGTAAAATCATGTACAAGTCCATTTCTCAGTTCCCCAGGATGAGTTTGACAAAAGAAGCCACGTCTGTCTCTTTGGATTCGTGCAGGGTGAAGAAACTGTGTTTCTGAAAGAGAGAGCGAGAGAGAACCAGTGAAGAGAAGGGAAAGAGAGGGGAAACTTGTCAAAACCTTCCATTACACCTCTCACAGGAATCCTAGATTCCCCCACCACACACACACACACACACACACACACACACACACACATTACCTATAAAAGGACCACAGTAATTCCCAAGCGGGACGCAGGTGGCACTGTGGGTTAAACCACAGAGCCTAGGACTTGCCGATCAAAAGGTCGGTGGTTTGAATCCCTGCGACGGGGTGAGCTCCCGTTGCTCGGTCCCTGCTCCTGCCAACCTACCAGTTCAAAAGCACGTCAAAGTGCAAGTAGATAAATAGGTACCGCTCCGGTGGGAAGGTAAACGGCGTTTCCGTGCGCTGCTCTGGTTCGCCAGAAGCGTCTTAGTCATGCTGGTCACATGACCCGGAAGCTGTCTGTGGACAAACGCCGGCTCCCTCGGCCAATAAAGCGAGATGAGCGCCGCAACCCCAGAGTCGGTCACGACTGGACCTAATGGTCAGGGGTCCCTTTACCTTTTTAATTCCCAAACAGAGTGATGATGACAGCGGGCCTTGACTCAAGGTACATTTTCCGTGGGACACATTCGGATGCAGCACCGAGCCATCAACCATGGTTAACCAGGTGAGTTTGTGCACGAGCCTCCCTTTCTCCAATGGAGAAACAAGCCATGAAATTGGTTGGCTTAGCATTACATCCCAACCACTGTCCCAGTTAATTCTGCTGCAAACAAACCACAATAGGAAGCCAAGGTTCCCAACTGTGGCTTCTTGGGGAGGGCTGTTTTGGGTGTAATGCTAAGCCAGCCATCCTTTGGTTTGTTTTTCTGCTGGCCGCAGGAAATAGCAGAGCAGGGAGCTCAAGCCCAGCTCATGCACAGACTGATTTGCTCACCCATGGTTTATGGCTTAGTGTGGCATCCAAATGCAACCAACGTCTCCACAGCAAAATACAGATGTCCTCCCCACCCATGGTCAAATATAAATGAACTGGATACAATATTATTGCAAAAATGGTAATCAGCATTCCGTCAGGGCTATCAAAGAAAAGCTTACCGTGAAAAGCAATTGAGAGCTATTGGAACAATAAATAAATACCACTGAACTGGACACAACTCAGCAACAAAAAGTTCCATAAAGATTTAAATGAACAAGAAAAGAAAGATTCCTAACGTCTTTCTTGTGTGGGAAGTGCTTTTCATCTCTCTCTCTCTCATTAATTATCACAATAATCCCATTAAGCGTGTATTCAATACAATTTTTACAGATAAGCAAAGCCAAGATTGAAAAAGAAGGACGTGCCCCAAAGTTAAAACTGGAAGTTCAAAGTTCAGGAAGGCCTGAAAGATGCTCCTCCCTAACCACTACAGTGGATGCAACTCAGAGAGGGTTTCCTTTGTGAGGAAAGACTTGAAAAGGTCCTCAGAAATGAACGCAGACCCACCCAATCTCTTAAAAGAGATCTCCAAAGTATTTCAGTCAATGAGCAATACAATGAGTTTTGAATACGAAGGCTTTGAGGGAGGGAGGGGCCACTTCTATGTGGTATGAGGTGTGACTCTCATGTATGATCTAGATCTCTTTGGCTGGCTCCTAGATTACACATTGTAGCTGCAGTCACACCAGGGTTTAGGCGAGAGAAGAATCTATTCATCTAAATCCTGTCTCAGACTTATTTAGGGCTGGCTCAAACACAAGTATGTGCATATGTATAATTATATTTCTATATTGCCCTTCATCATAAGATCCCACGGCAGTTCGCAGAATAAAATACAGGATAAAAGCAAGTAAATAAGTACAGCAAAATGAAACATTCATAATTTATGTGCATGACACATGGTGGGGTCGGATGAAACTCCATAATTTGGCCATTATGTATGGACTGGGGTGTCTGCCAGTAATTGCTCCCCATGCAACATATATGCCACAAGAAATCATGTGTGTGGGAGCTTACTTCCATGCAATATACAACAACACAACAGTACACACAACAACACAACAGTACACCGATAGCCCTTAATTCATACTAAATGTCCGAAGTGTTGAGGTGTGTTTATGCAGGAATACTCTTGTGCCACACTGTACATGTGGGAACAATAACAATGTGTAAGCCAGCCCAGTAGGAATGGGAGTGTTCCCATGCTCAGAAGAGGTGTTCCCCTGAACCCAGGCAGTGCAGAGCAGTGGGTATAGCTAACATGGTACCCCAGCATGTGAGTAGAGCATCATCTGCAAAGGGCATTGAGGGGGTGAGGGAGGGAGAAAGAGTAACACTCATTCTCTCCAGCTGGAGATGGGGCCTGGGAAAAGGTGGTCAAATATATGGGATCCTGCCACTAATATTAAGAACTTCACGGTAACCAGCCAGATGAAAATCTGAACATCAATGTCCGAAAAGAAAAAAGAAAAAAACTGTGAGGAAAATGACCACTTTTCAAACTTTCAGCCTTCTGCAATTTCCTGGCTCATAGAACTGGTTTATGTTGCAAAGGATTCTGGGGTGAAGAATTTGTCCTTGGTCACAGGCTGGACTCACGGGCCTGTTGCCCAGCCTAACAAACACCCTTTTGGCCAATCTGTCTTTGAAGGAAGCTTTGCCTGCCATTAATGTTATTCTCCCAGGCGGAACCTCCCATCAGCTTCCAAGGAACCCCAGGGTTCCCCAGGACGCGTTTTGGAAACCACGGCAGTAATATAAAGCAAAGCGTAAGTAAGTAAGAAAATTAGCTCTCTAGCCATGCCCGAGTCATCCTCTCATTTTCCACTTGAAACCTCAACGACGCAGGAAAGCAAAAGAAGCAGCCTCAGCCTTCAAAGACAAGCAGCCCATTCCAGGACCGCAATGTCTACTGCCATGGGAAAGTGAAAAGGGCTAGGGGAGGAAAAGCCCAAACCACAGGACCTTACAACAATAATGTCAGCCATAAAATACCACAATGCTGAGATAGATTTCAGAGGTGATCCAATATCCTAATTCAATAGAAATGTGCAGGGCTGCCAACCAGAGCTTGGCTGAAGAACATGCCTTTCCTCACTTCCACCCTGGCGAACCCAGTGTGTGCTAAAAAGCCACGTGATAAAAACACTGCTGTATGATTTGGAAGCGGGTGGAGGGATTAATTCTATAAATGCACGTATGGTGCATTTTTAAACAAGAGCCAATAAATCGAGGCCTTTCTCCACCTAAAAAGCTGTTAATGAAAGGTACATAGGATCACAGAATGCTGGAGTTGGAAGGGACCACTGGCTTAATCCAGTCCAATCCCTTGCAATGCAGGAATCTTTTGCCCAACGTGGGGCTTGAACCCACGACCCTAGCACTTCCGGGGTGGCGCCTCCGGAAAATGGCGGAATTCCCTTCGGACTGAAGGGAACCCGCTGCACGGAGGCTTGGGTCCTGCCGCTACGGCGCAGCGGGGACCCGCAAAAACCACAGGCGGAAGAAGCCTGTGGACGTGGGACTCGGCGGGCACCGAGAGCGCTCTCTCCCTTGTACAGGAGCCCGGTAACGGGCCCCGGAGTGGGGGTGCGTGGTGCTGTGAGTCGTCTGCTTCCTCCGTGCAGCAAAGCCGCACTGCCGTTATCGGAGAGCGCTGCCTTTTTCCTGGACAATTTGGCATCTAAAACATCTATCCGTGAGTACCTGATCTTAGAAGAGCTGAACCACTTTTAAGACTGGTGAATAAACAAATAATATTGGACTTGAAATTGAACTTAATTGGGACTCGGAATGGGAAGGTCTAAACAGGAAGTCGCCTTCCGTTCTTTTGTTATGTGAAGAAAGCAAAGACAAAATATACTAAAGCCTGAAAATTAAATTTTAAGAGAACTAGAATTCAACATCTAAGATTTCTGAACCCCCTTTGACAGCAGGAGAAAAAGGGGGTTGTATTTGGACTTTTCAATCCTGCGGAAGTGAGTTTAAAATAAAGCAATTTTCCACCGCCCTGAACCAGGAGCGGGCTGTCAGAATTGACGTTCTGAAGTTTATCCAGCTCGACAGTTAGTTAAAAGAAGGGTAACATTTTGATTCTACTGTTGCCTCTTGAATTTGGAAGGGGAATTTTGGATAAAGTGTTTCTGGAAAAAGAAAGATTGTTGCTGTTGCTTTTATTCCTTTAAAAAAAAAAAAATTCCATCTAGTGGAATTTAGTGAAATTGCAACGCAGAGAGATTAAAAGAGAAGGACTATTGGACTATTCTCGTGGGAAAGAATTTTCTTTGACCTTGAAGGACAATGCTAGTACAAAGGCTTGAACAATTGTTCCTGGAAGGTTTTTCAAAACTAAGTGCCCAGCTGGACCAGATGCGTCAGGAGACGACCTTGAGGATGGAAGTTACCAGAGCACAGCAGCAAACAAATGAAATTCAGTTAAAGGCTATACAAGCATATGAACCTGCTGTAGTGACGGAGGCTTCAGAGATGGAGGGACCTTTGGACGGGCAAGATCAGCCTTTGAACTTGATAAATGAACTTGGGACAAACCAGATTCGGAAAGATGAAATGTGGTCAGATTTGGAAATGGGGGATGGATCGACCCCCCTCCATATGGTTATTTGGACCTTCCGAGTCTGGTGATGGGCTATCAGAGGATTGGAGTAGCCAAAGTCTCCAAGCTTTGTGGAAATTTGAAGTGGTATTATTTGCTGTCTGGCTTGGGCAATGGGTTTGGGATGGACTTGTTGCAAAGGGTCAAAAGCATTTTCTTGCTGGAGCATCCACGACTGGAAAGGAATCATCAACAAGAGTGGCGAAAGGGGCAAGAAAGAGACTTGAGGGCCTCGGATACGAGACAACCAGGTTAAGGAGCCGGATTACCGAGGTTAAAAGGACTGACAATCCCGGGTCCAGGGGAGGGGAGGTTGGAAGCTGACTGGACTGAATTTGACTTATTATTTTTTCTTTTTACATTTTAATATACGGAATGCATACAAATGTTTGAAGGATGTTGAATGAAATTACATGACTTAAGTAAGGATTGGTAAATGATTCGTAAAAGGTAATGATGCAAGAATTTGGTAAATATTGAATATAAGCTATGAGTTTTAAAGTTTTTATATGACAAGAGGGAAAATAGAATAAGGAAACGTAATGACAGATTGTTATGAAAAAACAGAAAGGATTTGCTGTAAAAATTAAAAATTAAGAAACAAAAGAGGGGAGGAGGAGGAAGTCTAGAAAGGAAGTCAATAGAGATTGTAAAGGACTTTATATTTTTGTTTTTCTGTTTCTCTTTTTTTTTCTTTGCGGCTGGGTTCTCTTTTCTTTTTTGTTTATGCACTAATTTTGTTTTTTGTATCCTTAAATTTTTTTATTTTTATTTTTTTTGGAAATTTTTGTTGTTATTTTTTGAAAATTCAATAAATATCAACTATAAAAAAAAAAAAAAATGAACCCACGACCCTACATGATAACTGCGTTATAGATCCCTTTTGCAGAAATGCCATAGGAATTACTTATACACCAAAGAAAATCCCGTGTTGCAAAACAGAACACTGTGAACAACAACAAGCAACACGTCGGCTAATATTATACCGACAACATTTTTATAACACTATACTGTTTCAAAATTCATAAACAGAAGACATATAATATGTCCATGGAGTCACAAACTAATAAGAATCAAATAAATGTTCCAGGAACAAGAATGGTAGGAATGGTAAGTCACTGTCAAAGATCACTGAAATGGAGTCAGAATGCCTTTCCACAGTCTATGTCCTACAAATGTGAGCTGATGGGTGCTCCAAACATCGAAATAGGCTGCTCTGAGCACAACAGCAAGAACAGTACAGTTCTCCCAGGATAATAAACTGTTTCAATGATAAATCTTCATCAGCAAATTAATAGTTCCCAAAGGTACATCAAATGGCCATGGATCAGCTATCACTAAAAAGTGTAGTAAGCTGGTGCCATGTCGCTTGTTGTTGTTGCTTGTTGTTGTTCATAGGAATTACTTATACAAATTTCTTTTACAAGAAAAGAAGAGGATAATGGTTCAGAAACTTACACTTGGATATCAGAACCACCATTTAGTAAGAGTCAAAACGAGGTGGCAGACTTGGGAGCAGCTCAGAATTTCATCAGCATTAAGAAGGAAATACGTACTATTATATTACACACATAAATGGATGGAAGGGTTGAAATCATTGCCAGAAGTCCCCACCTCCCTTCCCCAGGGACTTCGCAGAGGTGAGAAGGACATGGTGGTGGTTGCCACAAAAGTTTTTGGAGATTCATGCCGTCTTGCTTGATATAGTGATTTCATGGGTACAGGTCATAGAAGAGAAAGGGAACTGCAACTTCTCTACCGTAAAAATGGATCCCATGCAGTAAAAGCAGCTTGAAAATTTGTATAAAAGCCCCTTCAGAAAGAAAAACTACAGTCATCTCCCTCCAAACTGCAGTGCCTTTTTAGCAACATCTGGGTGGAAATTGCTGAAACGTCCGGGAAAAGCTCAACAACTTTTGTGTCCGGATTTTCACCTTTTGAAATATGGCAACCCAAACTGGTTCTTGAGTTTCCATCTGGCAGAAACAGTAGTGCTGATTAAGGATACTTAATGAATTTGATCTTTGAGGATTCCAGTACAAATTTACCCATTCTGCACCTCCCTGAGTAATGTGGGAGCCCCTCCCTGGGACTTTAGGCAGTCACTGGATTTCACACTTCCTAAGGTAAGCTATTGGCTCAAAACATGATTCAGATAACGTAAAAGAACGCTAACATTTGTGGGTTTCCATCTACCCGGAGGGAAAACCCAAACCAATTCTCAGGATGAGCATCCACAACGACAGGTTGTCAGAACCAAAACTTGTGTTTTCTGCCTGTACTGCACCTGGATCTGTTGCGACTACAAACTCACCATTAGTTCAGGGTATGTTGGCCTCTCTTTGGAATTCTTCTTCAAGCTTTAAGGGGGGAGGAAGAGAGAGAAAGGAAAATTATATGTGTGTTTCAGCCAATAGAAGCAAACAGCCAACTTGCCCGTGAAAACACAAGGAATTATCTGTGTCCCTGTAAAGGAGGGTGATGGGACTTGCTTTGCACCAGTCTCAGCACCAAAGGACACCAGAAATGGAACCAAAGCGATGCCAACTGATGTCCACCCAAACATGTAACTAGATCATGCATGGTTCCAGCTCCCATGCCTATGCATGCAGAGAGCTATGAACACAGAATCCCTCCTGCATTAATTCCCATGCTTAAACTTCCCTTAAAACTGCAGGCATTGGAGAAGGGGCCAAGAGAAGCTGTTCTGCCCTGCTCTCTGGCAATCATGTGAGGAGCCCTTCAGGCATATCATTTGTATGGTGACTTAAGTGTGACTGGGATTCCAACGCAAACTTTTAATTCTGCACAGCTGGTGACAAGCTGTTTCAGCGCCCTCGCCAAACTTCAGTTCCCAGTATACTTTGCAGGGCACCAGGACAAGCTGAACTGGCATAAAACCAATACTTACTTGTAGATGAGCCTCCTCAGACATTCCCACCCCCCAAAGAGATGAGCACATAGAATATTCATTTATCAGCTGTACACAACACGTGGGGCTGTTCTACCTTCCCATCACCTTTGATCTGCGTCACCCATTGCCAGAACAGGCCATCTCGGCACGCTTCATCCTTTCTGCAAACAGCTATTATTACTACAATGGGTGGCTGGGAAAGTTTGTCTGTGACTTGAACGGGTGAGGTGGAAGGGTAAAAAAGATCCATTTATTCCGGTCTCCCTGCAGCTGAAAATAGCTTTGAAGACAGGATGTAATAGCAACTCACTTCCTGGCAGAGTATTTACGGGGAAGATGCTTGGGGTGACTTGAAAAAAGATCTCCACACGTACACATGCTTTAGCAGAGAGGGGAAGGAGGTGTAAAGTGTCACACTGAGAGAAACAAAAGTGTGATCATCGGGCTATAGTAAACACACCCTCTTCTGGGATTTGCCAAGCCCAGGGGGTAGGGGGGAAGTGGAGGATGCTTACTGAAGGGATACTTCCTGCCCATCTCTCACTGCATCATCTCAGAGCTCAGGTTTACGGAAACTCTTATGCTGTGTAATATAACAAAACCCAATGATTCTTTCGTGTGTGCATACACGCACACCCCATGTCTTTGCTTATCAAAACTGACAGGAGAGAGTGTGCATGTCAAAAATTGTTGGGTTGGTGTTTTTTTAAATAAACTAGCATCGAACTCTATCCAAGCTGGCCATGAGGAAATTTCATATTCTTCTGCTAATTTATTCCTTTCCCATAAGCTTTTCATAACTTTACTATGAACCTAGGCTGCATTTTTTGTAGTGTTTAAATCTATTTCTCTCTCGCTTTCTCTCTCTCTCTAACACACACACACACACACAGAGAGAGAGAGAGAGAGAGAGAGAGAGAGAGAGGATTTGGATGAGAGTAGCAATAAGAAGGCAGAAAGATAGGGGTAAACTGAAGATGCAATATATAAACCGAAGATGCTAGATGGGATGATACGATGGCAAGTTTGGCCGTCTGAAAGAACATAAACTTACAGTGTCAGGACTAAATGGCTCAAAAAAGGCCACTATGAAACAATGAAGTAAAACAGCACCCATTTAAATGTCACAAAAGGAACTCCATTCTTTTAGGCAGCCTGCAGGAACCAAAGACTCTACACTGCTCTATTTCAACGGTCTTTTCTCTTCTCCTCACACTCTGCCTTGGCACAATGGCGTTTCACGTCTTGCCCCAGAGAACTAAAGGACCAGAACTCTGACACACTGAGTCACTTCCCCCATAGACCACTGGGAGGTCAACATGACATTTCCTGAAAGCTACAGGAAACAGTCCTTGAGGAAAGTTCACTCAGACACACGTGCCTTAGCTCAGGAAGAAGGCAGTGGAAGTAGAGATGGCTGACGTAAAGACCAGGCTCACATATGCACCTTGCCAGATTCCCTTGAGAGCTTCTGCCTGTTTTCAAAACAATGAAGCAGCTACTTCCAGAGCAAGTATCTTGATCATGCCATTAGCAGCCAAAGGCAAGCATCTGCTGAGTAATTAAACTGACTTATTTTTTATTTATTTTTTAAAAGCAAGTAGTGGACTAAAATAATTATCCCTACCTCCTCTACAGCATTTTATAGATATTTGTGACAAATTTTCAAGGAAGGATGTGCGTCTTATACCTGTCAGCCAGACTCTTCAACCTCAATCCTGCAAAGATTTTAACTCATAAGCTGAATTCTGGAGAGAAGGTGGGGTTTAACCCACAAGCATGGGTGCTGCTCTATAAAGTCAAAGGTGATTGGCTCCTGCCCCAATGAGCTTACAATTTAAAATTTCACCCAGGGGGACAATAGCAAGTTCAGTCCAGCTACACCAGAGCTGGTCATTTGGGGCAAGTGGTGGAGCCATTTGTTGTTGTCGTTGCCACAGAATTTTAATGCATTTTAAATCTGATTTAAGTTATTGGTTGTCTTTTCTCCTTTATTGTAGTGTGAATTCTGGCCCCAACCCAGTGTTTTTGACCCTTATAGATGCAAACTTCCTTTTTACCTTTTTTTTAAGAGCCAAAAAGGCAGCATGTAATTCTTCTTTATTTAAAAAAACAACAAACTAATAACGTAGTGCATTTGATTTATGTATTTACTGAAATAGTTTAATGGAGACGTTATTTTGTTACTGCAAACTATCCTGAAATAATTAATGAAGGGTGGTGCAGAACTAATACTTTTAAATTATGTTTATGCATTTATATGCATACGTGTGTGTGTGTATATATATATAACTATATACACACAGACAGATCGATATACTCCAAAATAAAAGAAATCACAGTAAAACCAGTCAAATTCTACTGAAAGCTCAGTATTAAAACCAAGCAAATTCCTGGTGAGCACGCAAAGGTCTTCAATAGCATTTGGTTCAAACAAAAATAAACTAGGTCAGGGATAGAGGAACCTGTGGCCTTCAAACGTTGTTGGACTACAGTTCCTATCAGCCACAAGGGTCTATTTTGTGTTTCAAACTGGTTGGGTGTTTTTTAAGTGTACGCCACCTTGAGATGCTTGTTTGGAAGGTGATTAAATGTATCCACAATAGCGATAATGATCATAATCGTTAATACCTGCCTGTTGGTTGTGCTGGCTGGGGCTGATCGCAGCTAGGAGTCCAACAACATCTGGAAAGCCAAAGGTTCACCTCCCACCCACCCACCCACCCTTTGACTACATGAGTCTGGGAACAGGATCTAAAGTTAGGTAGGGGTCCCGTGGGGTTCCCGCCCCACCCCACCCCACCCAAAAAATGACTCACGCTTACCACTGTGAGGTAAAATCAACAAACTCTGCAGAGAAGGTGTCTGGGAGCTGAGGTGATGGCTCTTCCACCACCTGTTTGAGCTGCTGGAATGGCGTCCCCCAGGACTCGTACGGAAACCGCAAAATGGCCAGTTCAATCTGGGCATGGAGAGAAGATGGAGAGGCATCAATATCACTTTCTTAGGTTATTTTTTTAAAAAAAAGAAAGGTACCTTATAAAGGTACCTTTATAAAGTACCTTTATACAGTAGTACCTCGGGTTAAGAACTTAATTCATTCTGGATGTCTGTTCTTAACCTGAAACTGTTCTTAACCTGAGGTACCACTTTAGCTAATGTCTAAACCACTCAGTCCAAACCACTGAGCCTCTTGGGCTTGCCGATCAGAAGGTCGGCGGTTCGAATCCCCGCGACGGGGTGAGCTTCCGTTGCTCGGTCCCAGCTCCTGCCAACCTAGCAGTTCGAAAGCACATCAAAGTGCAAGTAGATAAATAAGTACCGCTCCGGCAGGAAAATAAACGGCGTTTCTGTGCGCTGCTCTGGTTCGCCAGAAGCAGCTTAGTCATGCTGGCCACATGACCCAGAAGCTGTATGCCAGCTCCCTCTGCCAGTAAAGCGAGATGAGCACCGGAACCCCAGAGTCGTCTGCGACTGGACCTAACGGTCAGGGGTCCCTTTACCTTTACCTTATCCAAAAAGTACAGTGAGGAGACAAACACTGTTCCGTTTCCCTAACAACCGTAGCTTTTGCTGCCATCTGCAGGCATGGCCCCGCAATGGCACCGGACCTCCTCTTACGGCTTCTGCTCCCTGTTTTCTTTTTTCCGCTCCCCCCTTAGAAACCCTGGGCTCATTTGGCGCCTCTGGAAGGCACAGCCTGTGTGAATCCCTGGAGACGGCATGTCCCTGGGAATATTTAAAAGTAGCAGCATGTGAGGCCAGTTCAGCTGGTTTGCGCCATGTACCCACTGCCTTCCCTGGAGAATGCAGAATGCCAGGGGAGGGTATGTTCTCTGTCCTCTCCCTCTCCATTCCCTACCCACGGGGGCTGTTGCAACCAGAGGGGACTCATCGTTCCCTGGAGAATGATTCCAGTTTGCCAAAAGAAGCTGTCTGTTTGCTCTGAATGCTCTGATTCCCTGAAGCAGGCGTAGTGCCAGTTGAGTGAGTATGGAGACAGATTATGACTGCAGGGCATCAGGTTTCTTCCAGATAAACAACCTACACATGCACGCTGATGCCTAGCTGCATTAGCATTTATCGGAAGCACTGTTTTAAAAGAGGCTGCGGAACGCTTGTACGTTCTGAAATTCACCTGCCTACCCAAACTAGTCTGTTTTGGGTTGTTGTTTTTTAAGGAAGCCAGTCCCGATTTTAAAAACCTCAGTCCCAAGGATGCTCAAAGCTGCTGACTTGGTTGTTCTAGAAAAAAGGCTGCCGCTGGCATACAAGCTGACACTACATCCGGAAATCTAGGCGTCTCTCCTGGCAACCTGCTTTCCTTCTGACCTGTTTCTGCCTATGCTTCTTAGCACAATTCATCTGATGTCTCTTGAACGTTGTCAAGAGAAGCTCGGATACCCACACAAAGTGAAGAGGAATTAGGACCTCTGCAAACAAAACGAGAAGGCACAGCTTCACGTCTGCAAGAGGTCAGCTGGAGAAGGGGGGAGGGGGAAGCAAAATTGACGATGGAAAGCAAAGCAGGAAAAGAAAGTAAAATCCACCTATGCAGCTTTTCAACATTAAAACTCCACCGCGTTTTTGGCTTTAAACCCGCCAATAAATCCAGAAAGGAAAAAAGTGAACTGCTCCAATGAAGCATTTCTTCATGCCAGTGGCTCTCAAAATGCATTTGGGGGGGCAGTCTCCAAGTTTTCAAGAAGTGTATTTGGGGGGCAAGTTTCCTCAAAAGTCTGCTTACTTGCAACTACAGATCACCCCTGGCGATCGGTGACAACTTGGGGCATTGTGTTTGTGCCATGGCACACTCTCAAATCACACGTGGTGGTGATAAGGCTCAATAGGCCTGTATCCCACCTGAAAGGAAGGCATGCCCTAGAACCATCTCCCCCCTTCCCCATCTCTCTTGCCTAGACAACATCTCCCATCAGCCCCAGCCAGCACGGGCAATTGTCAGGGATGATGGGATTTGTAGTCCAAAACACGTGGTGGGTTAGTGAAGGATGTTCACATTCCCCAGAGTTTTCTGCAACATGTGTTCCCCAGTAGACTGTGGCTAAGGAAACGGTTCCCTTAAAAAGAAAAAGGCTGAAAACCACTGCTATATGCCTTATCTGTAATAGTGATCTCTGTCACGCACTCACTCTCTCTCTCACACACACACAAATACCTGCCAGACAAATACAGTGGTACCTCCGGTTAAGTACTTAATTCGTTCCGGAGGTTCATACTTAACCTGAAACTGTTCTTAGCCTGAAGTACCACTTTAGCTAATGGGGCCTCCCACTGCTACTGCGCCGCCGGAGCACAATTTCTGTTCTCATCCTGAAGCAAAGTTCTTAACCTGAGGTACTATTTCTGGGTTAGCGGAGTCTGTAACCTGAAGCGTATGTAACCCGAGGTACCACTGTATATGGCATACAATGGAATACTAAAATGCACACATTTAGACTAAGAGTCATGGGTCTTGTTTCTGAAAAAAGGTTGACGACTACTGTTCCGGACTTCCTATAAACTCCAACCACCAGTATTAATCCAGTATTAACACAACCCTCACAGAGTTACTCACAGCTCTTTCCAGCCTCAATAAAACACTAGAATCATAGAGTTGTAGAGTTGGAAGAGACTCCAAGGTAGGTTGCCTAGTCCAACCCCATGCAATGCAGGAATTTCAGCTAAAGCATCCATGACAGACGCCCATGTAAAGAGGCAGAAGCAGTCAAACCGCATTCCCCACCCAAAAAAAATAATCAAGATATTTCTCCTGCTCTCACGTAACCCCCGTGACCGCAGTGGGCTCTGCTAAGTACAGTGGCGAACTTAAAACAGTGAAATTGTTAATCTTTCCTCTCACAGAATGTTAAGCATTTAAACATGGACACATTTCGAGCTCACCATGTCTTCAATGTATTGAAGGCTAAAGGCCTGAGGTATATTCAGGCATTTTATTAATCGCAATCAGCCGCAGATTGCAAAATATTTTACGTGTGGAACAAGGCCAAATGGACAAAACTCTCTTCAGTAGCCACAGTCCATCAGGCCTTCCTGTGTAAACTCTTACCATAGTGATTCCCAGACTCCAAATATCGGATTTGACGCTGTATCCCTTTTGGTTTAGTTCTGGGTTGATTCTTTCAGGCTGGGGTGGGGGGAGGAAGAGACAGAACACAAATAGTATTATATTTAGTTGCCCAAGTTGTAAATCCCTCAGCTGATGGAGGAAGAAGACTCTCTCAACTTCCTGTATGCATGCAAATGAATGAAGGTGTATGCAATGTGTAACTATTCCCTTAGGCTTTGAAGAGATTTCACAGGGAACGTCTTTCTGCCTTAATCTGATTTTTGTTAAGAGTAGCCTTCCCCAATTTGGAATTTAACATACACTCTCCCGAGAGTACTGTCAGTGAAAGCAGTTTGGCTTGCCAGACAGAATGATTCTCTCCCCTGGCCAATTTCAGCAATTTGGGGAGTGGGGGGCAGATCCCATTGCACAAGTGGAATCCCTTCTGCAAAGTAGAAATACTGAAAATGAACAGAAACGAAAACCTGCCCCCATACATGTAAAAAGAGTCAGGAAGTACAGCGAACTTTTCCCGTATTTTGCACTTACTGTAAGGTTGCCAGATGTCCCTGTTTCCCAGGGACAGTCCCCGGATTTACACATCAGTCCCCAAACAAAATCCACTGAAGTTGAAAAGTGTCCCCAGATTCATTGAAAAAAACCTGGTAACCTGAACTTACTGCCATGTAAGGCTTGCAGCCAGCATCCATCGTCTTGGCCACAGAGTCAACGAGGTAACCGCTGATTCCAAAGTCACACATTTTCACCTGTCCCAGTGTGTTGATCAGTACGTTTGAGGGCTTGACATCTGCAAGGTGGAATGCACAGGAAGCAGGTTGCTTGCAGTAGCGTTACAGCAGAAATGGAAGAGGACAAACAAGAGCCACCAGAGGGCACCAGCATACATTTCACTTGTCATCTTGAGAACCACAGGAGATAAGAAAATGATATCTTTTCCCAGGCTGTAAGCCAGGGACAGGGAGCCTGCCACCATACAGACGTTGGACTCCTATCCAGTAAAAGTTCAAAAACAGGGGTACAAGTTTGAGCAGAAGTCACAGGGGCCAAACAGAGATGCAGGTTCCACTCTGGCTCGCTGTTAACCATTGTTAAAGAGACTGGGAGCCAGCATTAAGAACCCATGCTTCTTCTTCTCCCTGGAGCACAACTGCTGTCTTTCTTTCAACCATGGTTAGCACCAACATTCAGCAACAGTTATACCAGCCAGATTGTCCAAGACTTACAGAAACCCTAGTTTATTCTATGGCAGGGAAGAAGACGTAGAGAGCTAGTGGTCACATTTATGCTTAATGCTAAACCGTGTTTTAGAACTATGTGCAGAATGCACCCTATGTGCAGGTAAGGAAAAGGTAAAGGGACCCCTGACCATTAGGTCCAGTCGTGGCCGACTCTGGGGTTGCGGCGCTCATCTCGCTTTATTGGCCTAGGGAGCCGGCGTACAGCTTCTGGGTCATGTGGCCAGCATGACTAAGCCGCTTCTGGCGAACCAGAGCAGCGGAGCGGTTCCTATTTATCTACTTGCACTTGGACGTGCTTTCAAATTGCTAGGTTGGCAGGAGCAGGGACCGAGCCACGGGAGCTCACCCCGTCGTGGGGATTTGAACTGCCAACCTTCTGATCAGCAAGTCCTAGGCTCTGTGGTTTAACCCACAGCACCACCTGCGTCCTTTTATGTACAGGTGCTTTCCCCATTTTTCTCCTTCTACAAGGCAGCCAGAAGGACTTTGTCAGTGAGTCTCCCCTAATCTTGGCTTGCCATTTTGTATTAGACAGGGATCATTGTTTATCGAACCTCTGGTTGGTTAAACAAGTGAGCTTCATTAAGCCATGGTTTGACCTGCTTCACACATCTCATTCAACCATCGTTTAAAACAAACTATGGTTTAATGTGATGGAGCTCGAAAGTTCCAACAGCACTCCTCCCTGACCGCTGATGAGACAAGTCAGAGTTTGGCTTGTCCGTCATCTAAACTGGAGGTTTCCTTCCTCCAAACAAACGTCACTCCAAACAAACAAATATACGGTTTAAAAAAAAAGTTAAGAAAAGGGTCCGCAAACCTATGTTTGAGATAACATGAAAAGGGACTGAAAAGGTAGAAGACTACTGGTTGAGAGTTATATGTGACAGTAGCCATTGTGTATTTCCAGTGCTGATTCCTGCTTTGTTAAATGTGGATTAATAAGGACTCATAGCATAACAATTTCAATGAAATTATCTCTACTCTGAATGGCCATTAAGGAAGTGATTTATCTCTTAAAGGTAAAGGGACACCTGACCATTAGGTCCAGTTGTGACCGACTCTAGGGTTGCGGCACTCATCTCGCTTTACTGGCCGAGGGAGCCAGCGTACAGCTTCCGGGTCATGTGGCCAGCATGACTAAGCCACTTCTGGCGAACCAGAGCAGCGCACAGAAATGCCGTTTGCCTTCCTGCCGGAACGGTACCTATTTATCTACTTGCACTTTGATGTGCTTTCGAACTGCTAGGTTGGCAGGAGCAGGGACCGAGCAACAGAAGCTCACCCCTTTGCGGGGATTCGAACCGCCAACCTTCTGATCGGCAAGTCCTAGGCTCTGTGGTTTAACCCACAGCGCCACCCGCATCCCTGATTTATCTCTTACACTGAAGCAGAAGATGCTGGGTTTACCTCCAAGCATCTTCCTATGACACTTAATTAGGGAGGATTCCTATTGGGCAAGTTATATGACAACAGGAGCTCACCCTGTCACACAGATTTGATCTGCCGACTGTACAATGGGCAGGCCCACGAGGCTCGGTGGTTTAGACTGCAGCGCCACCTCCATCCCTGTTGCTTTGTCCCAGCTCCTGCCAATCTAGCAATTTGAAAGCATACCAGCACGAGTAGATAAATAAGTACAGCTGCGATGGGAAGGTAAACGGCATTTCCGTGCACTCTGGCTTCTGTCACGGTGTACCACTGACCCGGAAAGCTGTCTGTGGACAAACACCAGCTCCCTCGGCCTGAAAGCAGAGGTGAGCACCGCACCCCATAGTTGAATTCAACTGGACTTAACTGGGTCCTTTACCTTTACCTTTGCCTATATGATGATGATACGTAAGTATTCATGTGCTTTTCTTAAGTGATCAAGGCACATGTATTATTTGGACCCCAAGTTGCAGAAGCAGATAGTCCTTTTGCCCAATTTTAGATAATATCCCCATCACCGAAGCCCCTCCACTCCAGCCATCACTGCTCAGCGCAGGCCCTGACTCTCCCAAGTAAGGCTGTTTGTGAGACACAGGAGACTGGAAGGGATAGGGGGGAAATTCCACTGCACTAACAGTTCTCCATTTAGCATCGCTTTGGGTTCAATCCATTATACCACAGTAATCCTTACAGCCGCAAAGTACAGGTAGGCCAATTCCATTATCTCAGATGCAGGTGGGGATGCTGATATAGGGAAAGTACCAAAACGGCATTTGGCAAAGCCAAAATGAGAGTTCTAGTATTGAAGCAATACTGGCCAGGTCAAAATCAGCATCCTGGGCTGGGCCTGGAAAGAGTATGGGTATTAAGTACCCTCAGCCATCAGGGAGAAGAAGTCTTGGTCGCTGATGCAGCTTCAAACTGACCTAAACTGACCCAAACTGACCTAAACTGATGGAAATGCCATTTAGCACTTTGCACAGCGCTCGTCAACCCATTTTCCAGAACCAAGAATTGTTATGGTGTCCAACTCTGGTCGCACTTACCTCGGTGAATTACAGACAGCTTACTGTGTAGGTGCTCTAACGCTTTCACAATCTGGGAAAAAAAAAAGAACAGGGACAGACAGATAAGAACGAGCTGAAGCTGGCTGAAGCAGAAGTATTCTGCTTCGCTCGTTCCTCCCAGGCCACAGGTTAGCTCTTCTTTCAACACTTAACCAGGCTGGAGACAGTCTAGGTTGGGCGTTTGGGCAATTAACAGGCAGGAGAGTGCTGAGCCTGCAGTCTGGCACCAGGGTGATAAAACATGATTCATACTATTCATTGCTCTTCCAACCCCCCTCTTTGCAGTGTGCTCAAAATAAAACACTGATGTAACAACCTTCGAGGGATCACAGTGTGTTCAAGCTTTGGGCATCACTCTTTAGGAAGTTTTGATGGCTGAATTCCAGCAGAGTTCTAAATTCCTTGGAATTCCAGGTTATACACCCAGTATAAGGTGTCTCCAAAACACATCTCCTAAGAGGCAAAGTACACAAAAAGAAAGGAGCCCTGGGATTGTTCCTCACCTGCAGAGGAAAAATATTGTTTTCCTCCACAGGTAAGAAAGGAGCTGGAGGGGGAAAGTTCCCCGTAGCAGAAAAATGGCTCAAGGAAGCAATTGAGCATCCCCTCTCCAATGGCAATCTGCGATCAAGCCACCAGTCCCTCATCCTCAGGTAACTTTCAGTCTTTGAAACTAAAGTCAAAGAACAAACAGGTATTTTCATTGCATGTCATTTGGCCCTCAGCTCACCTCTCTCTTAATATTTCCCCACAGGGCTCCCTAACCCCGCTTTGCAAAACAAATTCTGGTTCTTCTCTCATGAAGGGCTTTCCAGGCTACTTTTAGGAAGATGTGGCTCATAAATACCAAGGATAAGCCCTAAAAGAGAAGCCAGCTGCTATTTGTTCTCCATTTTCCTTTTGCAACTTTTGTACATTTAACAGCTGACTGGCAGATGTGGGCTGCAAAGATGGAAAGGGAGCTGAATCCCCTTTGGAAGAGGATTAAAGCAACCCAAAAGTACTCACTGAGACAGCTATTTTTCCTAAGATGTCCTCAGGAATCGTCAAGCCTTTGTCAATGACTTGCTTGTAGAACTTATCCAGTGAAGTGTCCATCAATTCCATGCAAATCCAAACATCTCCCTAGGGAAAGGCAGAGGGAAAAGAATGGTGTTAATAATTCTCCACTCTGGAGAACCAACTGCAAACACACACACACCTGCTTCCAACAAAGTGTATGTGCATTGCCTTCAATGCCTAATAATAATAATAATAATAATAATAATAACAATTTTATATGCGCCCATCTGACTAGGCTGCCCCAGTCACTCTGGGCGGCTTCCAACAAATTCAAACATTAAGCACAGTAAAACATCAAGCATTAAAAGCTTCCCTATACAGGGCTGCCATCAGATGTGTTCTGATAGTTGTTTACTTCCTTGACATCTGACGGGAGGGCACTCCACAGGGTGGGCACAACTACAAAGAAGGCCCTCTGCCTGGTTCCCTATAGCCTCACTTCTCGCAAAACCATCAGAAGGCCCTCAGAGCTAGATCTTAGTGTCCAGGCTGAACGATTGGGGTGGAGACACTCCTTCAGGTATACAGAGCCGAAGCTGTTTAGGGCTTTAAAGGTCAGCACAAACACTTTTGAGTTTGGCTCCCAGCACATTTTGGAGCGCATGTATGAACTAATATCTCTCCCATCACACTGTGTAGCATAACATACAACCTGAATAAATACATGTACCAACATCTCATGCCAGTGCAGGATTTGGGAAGACCATGAGCAGAGTTTGGGGCATTGCACCCTCCCATCCCCTTGTCTGAATTCCAGTCTCGGCCACAAGTTACCTCAGCCATTTCACTAACAATGTAAAATTAAGCTGCATAGCTATTTTGTTTTCTGAAGCTGAAGCATCGCACCACAAAGCCGGCTCCCCTCTGACCACAGAAACATCGGGGCCTCAAGGCTAACTTCCTTGAGAAAGGGAACAAGTTTGCTAAGTGCAGCAGTAGCCAAGAAGGGCTATTTGAAGGATTATTTGGCCCATGTGAATTCCGTCCTCCAAAACAAATTCCAATTGGTGCAATGAGGAAACAGAAGCAGGATTTCAATTTCTGCAGTGATCGTTTTCATGCCAAGCAAAACACCATTTTTTTAAAAATAATAATCCGGAATTCTGGCACTAAACATCGCTTTCCTGTTGTGTGGAATTTTGTTTTGCTTTTTTAGGAAGTACTGGGAAACACGAGGTGTTGGGAGAGGAAGGAGGGACCTGGCACTGGAGAAAGGAGAAAAGGAAGATACAAGCTGTCAGACAGGTTGGAATCCCTATTTCATCAATAAAGTTAACACAGAAGGAAAAGGGCAGGGGAGCCAACCTTTTTTAATCAACCGCTCTTTAACCATTTAACTGACTGTGTGCACCAAATGGAAGTTTTAAGAGAGAACCAAAAATTATTACTATTATTACACTCATATTCCAACTTTTCTCCAAGGTGACATATCTTTCCCTCTCCATTTTATGTTCACAACAATCCTGTGAGGTAGGTTTGGTTAAGAGATTGTGACTGGCTCAAGGGTCACCCGGTGAGCTTCATGGCTGAGTGGTGATTTGAACCCTGGTCTCCCAGGTCCTAGTTCAGTGGTGGCCAAACTTGGCCTTCCAGCTGTTTTTGGACTACAACTCCCATCATCCCTAGCTAACAGGACCAGTGGTCAGGGATGATGGGAACTGTAGTCCAAAAACAGCTGGAGGGGCAAGTTTGGTCACCACTGTCCTAGTCCAACACTCTAACCACTACACCATACTGGCTCCCAGCATGCACTTCCTGTACTATTCAGTACAGGAGCCAGTGTGGTGTAGTGGTTATGAGCGGTAGACTCGTAATCTGGTGAACCGGGTCCGTGTCTCCGCTCCTCCACATGCAGCTGCTGGGTGACCTTGGGCTAGTCATACTTCTTTGAAGTCTCTCAGCCTCACTCACCTCACAGAGTGTTTGTTGTGGGGGAGGAAGGGAAAGGAGAATGTTAGCCGCTTTGAGACTCCTTCGGGTAGTGATAAAGCGGGATATCAAATCCAAACTCTTCTTCTTCTCTGTAGAGAAGGTAGGTATTTCTGTTAGCCCTCTGCAGATACCTTGCTCTGCTTTCCTATGGTCTAGCTAACTTGTGAACTAACTAACATTACCACCTAGTATTGCTCAACTAAGATCTTGCACATATACTAAAAGAACGATCCATGTTCAGTGGGGATATGCACAAGTGGTATAGAAGGTGCTTGGCATGCAGAAGGTGCAAGGTTCAATCCCTTGAATCAGGAAGCAGGGGATGGAGCCCGACTGAGACCCTGGACAGCCACTGTAAGTCAGAATAAGCAGCGCATACTATGGTCTGGTTGTTTTTTTAAAAAGGCGGCTATTTCCTATGTCCTGTACTGTGAAGGCTGCAGCCCAAATGAAGGACACAAGAGGAGACCTACGAAGCCGTACCTCACGAAACAGCGCACCGTAGAAAGTTACAGTGAAGTGGCAGTCTACTGTCCTCATGGAGATATCCAGGTCCATCAGCAGTCTCTTCTGCTCCTGGCTGTTCACTGTCGCTCGGATTCGCTGAAAGAAAGACTCGTTTTCAGCTTTGGATCTCCTCCTCCCCTGAGCCGTGTGAATTTCTTCCAAGAACTCACTGACCAGGTACAAAGAAAAAGTGACTTTGCTTGGGTCATTTCACCAAGCAAACGTCAACAGCGCCGCCTCCGTTTTCCTAAGGCAGCTTCACCTCCGCAACGCCCCACACTTTAAGCAAAAAAGAAAAGGCAAATGGTTGTGGCCTAACAGTTAAAAGCAAGGTAACCTAGGTAAATCTCACAACCTAAAAATGGATCGCGGGAGCAGCCACAGAAGCTCAAAGCCAGCAGAGATGTTGTCTTGGGAAACCCTGACTCCCGAGGAACTCTGGTTCCTAATGACAAAGTAAAGCTTTAGTGGCAATGCGGCCCTTTGCACACTTACCTGGGAGTAATTCCCATTGAAACTAGGGAGACTTACTTCTGAGCAGACATACATAGGCTTAGGTTGCAAGTGTCTCATAACAGGCACCCCAAATTAGAGGCCATGCTTGCACGTTGCTTTTTTTTTTCCTTTAAGCCTCTTTTGTGCCTCTGTGAAATGGGGATAATAATGCTTACCTACCTCACAGGCGTAATTTATGTCTGGGAAGCACTGTGAGATCCTCGGATGTGAGGTGCTATAGAAGGGCAAAGGATTATTGTTACTACAGAAGTGCTTTATCTCCTCTCTCTCTCTCTCTTCTCTGTTTTTCCATCATTAACAAAGCTATGATGGCAGAACATTTGGTGGAGGGAAGCTACTGAAAGAGGCTCTGGTTTAGCAATCCATCCCTCACCTGCCCCAATCTGGTGGCTCTGTGTGTGCAGCACCTCTGATGCACCCAGCAAGGACTCTCTCATTCAGCTTCATGTCAAGAACGGGTGGGTGGGTGTAACACACATACATATACAGATATAGGTATAGATACACACAAACCCCTACATGCCTAAACATGTCCACCACTATTAATGTACACAGGAGGTGCCTGGTTACCTGAAAGGGTTTACACCAAAGCTCCTGTAAAGTTTCAGATCAGATCAACTTGAGCCTACACGGACATAAAACTTAACCAGTATTTTAAATATTTTAACCATAATGGAAGACTGGTTGCAAACTGTAGTGGATTTCCAGGGCATTGTTTGCATTAACCATGGTAATCTGTTGCCTCTGTGATAAGTGAACCATGGTTAAAGGTAACTTCCATGTGTCTCCAGCCTCTTTGCTTGCAAGACAACAGGCCTTGCTGGTGTCTCCTTACTCATGCCCTCCACAACAGCAGAACTTAGCTCAACAAGCTAAACTATGGTTTTACTGTACAACTGGGATCCTAAAAATGGTTTAACGGACTGAACTGCACTAACCAAGATGAAGTTATTTTTTGCAGTGGTCCATGTGTCAAAATACCTGGCAGGCAGTAGTACCATGTGCTGGGGTCTAAAACAGCTTGGCACTCTGGACCAGATGGGGGAAATGTAGATTATAGCTGCTCATTCCTTGGATTAACAGTGAGCTAACCATGGTTACTACCCTCTTCAAAGGACTTTTGTAACCATATTTGACACTGGTGCCAGTACCTGCCCTTGTCCCCAAAGGCCCATTATATATATATCAGCTTTCAGAAAGGAAATGTGAAGGTCAACAATCATTTCCAGTTTGTAGGATCAACAGCTTCAGTGGGACATGCCAATATAAGCAGAAGTAAAACTTTCCCCCAAGCGTTTTAATCCACTGGGAATGTGAAACGGTTTTGAATAAAATGATTCCTCCCACCTCTTTCCGATTTGAAGATTTCAAAATTAAAGTCTCTCATTAAAACTGAAACCCAATTCGAAAAATCATTATAAACAAAACATTTCAGTAATATATAATTAAAAATGGCCCTCTATGAAATACGTGCTTGCAAGTACTTGAAATAGTAGCCATCCACAAAGCTCATATACTTACAGGTTATGTTTTGCTCCAGTGAGGACTATCTAACATGGAAATACATCAGGCTCTACTGTTTTACAACATCCTAACCGAGAATAAGGCAATTTACACCTTCGACCAGTTCTTTGGGCTCTAATATGGACGGAGAAGGTTGGAGCCCACCTTTGTCAGTTTCCATTGAAATAAATGGGACAAAGACAAGACAACCAAGTCCAACTGTTCGGCTGCAATCCAATGGACACTAATCGGGGGAAAGTCTCCATGAACTCATTGGGACTTGCTTCTAAATAGACATGCACAGGGTTGTGCTATGTCCATTTGGACCCAGCCTAAAGACAATATTGGCTGATAATAAAGATCATAACCAAACCACTGTGTTAGGGAACAGGAGTACGCATACATTAATAGATTGATATTAGAGTGGCATTCATGCCTAAAGGCAGATTGCAAAGATTAAGAAAACCTGTCCTATTGACAAGATGTCAAAGGCCCAGTTCTGATGGCCATGTATCAGCTTAGTTAAGTGTTACGACCGTGCACATGGTCTCTTCATACGTCAGCTTAAGTCAAGATGTGATCATCCAAACACACTCAAAAGATGTATACAGTGGTACCTCTGGTTACGAACTGAATTCATTCCGGAGGTCCGTTCTTAACCTGAAACTGTTCTTAACCTGAGATACCACTTTAGCTATTGGGGCCTCCCGCTGCTGCTGCTGCGCCACTGTCGTGCGATTTCTGTTCTCATCCTGAAGCAAAGTTCTTAACCCAAGGTACTAATTCTGGGTTAGCTGAGTCTGTAACCTGAAGCGTCTGTAACCTGAGGTACCACTGTACTAACAAAATGCATTCATATGCAACACCAACTCTTACATCCCTAGTTCAGTTCACACAAGACAAGCTGAGAGCGGATGCAAATGTTGAAAAGTACTGCTCCCACATTTTGAAAGCAATCGTCCTGGAGAGACTCAATACATTTTAGGGAAAAGGCAAAACAATCAAGTTACAAGAGTCAAGAGACCAATGATTCACCTTGTCAAACACACACCCCAATTCTAACATGAGCCAGCATAGGAGCCAACTCCTAGGGGCTGTGGGGGCTTTGCCCCCCCCAATAAAATATTTGAGGGGGCTTCCCCCCACCCCATATTTTATTCAAGTTGGCACCCCTGGGAGCCAGCCAAACGCTTCCAAAGAGCCTGTAAGGCTGATCTGGAGCACAAACAGGTGATAATTGGGTGGGAAACATGACCAAGTATTTCAACCCTGAAATCTCCTCCAAATCCAAAGCAAGAATGCAAAGTTTAATTTTTAAATATAAAAATATAACTTGCGGAATGCAAGGCAATTTTGTAGTTTGACCTAATAGATGGCAGCTAGAATACAAATGTATTAGGATGGAATTCAACGTCATGCTATGCTGAATGTTCCATCTGCGCAAGCAATTCTGCTTGCCAATTAGAATAATTTCCCCCCTCCTGCTGTTCTGGGGGTTCTCCCAAGCAAGAGCCAATTTTTGGGTGGGGGGCAGAGAATGGGGAAGGTGGCAAGAAGAAAGCCCCATTGAACAAGCCCTTATGCATGGCTTCCGCTGACGGGATTCGTAAGGTAAGTCAAGTCCCACCCCTTTACTCCATATTAATGATGTCCTGCTTAATTGAACACAATCCTCCAGTTCATTGGAAGGAATCCAGAACAATAAAACAGGCTGATCTTTGGGACTTCTTTAGATTTAATGAATGAGGAAAGTTCAAGCTTGCTCTACCTGAATCCCCAGAGTTTGGCTCAAGTCCTCCCACCAGGTCAGCACTTCAATAAATATTACTTTTACCATTAAAAATCAATAAATCAATTATCAAAGCATTTGTGCATGTGTGTTTGTGTATGTTTCTCTCTGTGTGAGAGAGAGAAGTGCACACACAGACACATATATACACACACAAGTGTTGAAAAAGGTCAATAGCTGCTGGGAAGGTAAGGAGTTAATTTGGACAGTTAATGCGTTCAAAGAAGGAATAACCACAGAGTCTACCTTCACGGCCATAATTTGCCCACTGGGCATGTGCCGCATCATCTCTACCACGCCATATGCACCGCGGCCCAGTTCTGATATCGGCTCCAGGTCATCAGCTTTGACTTCAAAGTTCTGTGGAGAGAAAAGCCAAGAGAACGTCACCAGGATCCAAAAAGTGTAGTTATCCAATAATAATGCTTTCATTTGTACCCCACTCATCGGACTGGGCAGCTCCATCTCTAATGCGTCCAAACTGGTGGCTGCTCACACACATATATAAAAATTAGTTTTTTAATATATCATTTTCATCAGTCATTCAACATAGGTCACATCTTACAGTTTTTTGGACTTCCATCAATCACATCTGAAAATTTTCCAATTTTTTCACTTAATTTACATTTCTTAATTTCACTACTGCTTTTAATTATCTTATCTATTGACTCTCTCATCATAGCCTTCCTTACAATATTTCACATATTCCTCCTTACAAAACTTCTTGCAGTCCTACTAGCGTAATATGCTGATTACAGTTGCTTTTCAAATAGTTCACATATTTATTCCAGTCTTCTGAGAATCTCTGGTCCTGCAGGTTTCGAATCCTTCCTGTCATCTTATCTAATTCTGCATAGTCCATTAATTTCGGCTGCCATTCTTCTTTCGTCGGTAATTCTTCTTGTTTCCATTTCTGTGCCAACAGTACTCTTGCTGCTGTTGTTGCATATAAAAACAATTTTTTGTCCTGTCTGTTAATATCACCACTTAAAATACCAAGTAAAAATGCTTCTCTTTTTTTAAAAAATGTATATTACAACATCTTTTTCATCTCATTATATATCATTTCCCAGAAGCCTTTTACTCAATGGATGACTTAGCTCTGAATTTCCAAATCTGTGCATACAGAGAAGGCTTGTAAATAAGCCCACAATAGTTACTAGCCCACTAAGAGTCTATTAGGCTAGAATTCTGTGCTGGCCACAGAGGGAGGAAGTTCCCTTCTCCACACGCAGAAGGTCAGAGGTTCAATCCCCGCCATCTCAGGGCACAGCTGGGAAGAGAGTCTTGCCTGGAACCCTGGAGAGCTGATACCAAGCCAGTGCAGAAAATACTGAGCTAGGTGGACCAGCGGTCTGACTCAGAGCTCATTCAGACTTCCTTTTGCACCGCGATTTCCAGGCACGGATCAATGCTTTAAAGCTCTTTGGGTGCTTTTTGTTTCCTCCATCCTTCATCCAAGTGCTCTCCCTGGGGAAACCCACGTTTTACAGCTGAATCAGAGCAAGCATCAATCTGCAGGAAACCCTATTGCTCCGATTCAGCGGTAAAACCCAGGTTTTCGCAGGCAAAGCTCCGGAACTACAAAAAAAATATTCCCTAACTGGACACAGAGCCTCAAAGTGCGGACCTGGGCATAGAAATGAGGCACAAAAATCTGGATGAGGCTTCAGTATAAGGCAGCATGACCTTCTACTCAACAGATGGGAGTAGAAGAGACAGAGCTGAGGATACGCTTCCGTTCCTTTGCAGACAGCAGAGAAACTAACCAGACTAGCCGAGGAGGAAGAGAAGAGGTCTGACCCTCCTGCGCCAACCTGCACACTGACCTGCATGCAATTGCTGGCTGCCTACGGCTACCATGGGAGGAGCTGTTTTTTCCCCCATGCAAGGCTGCTCTGGAACACCGACATATCCTTACTTCTTCAAAAGTGCTTGGATGGATTTCATTATGCCATTCGAGTTCTGAAGTTGGGGGCAGAACCTCTCTCTTACAGGCATGGGTAATCGTTTCTTTAAACCGGAGCATTGCTTTGACCAGGGGTCAGCAAACTTTTTCAGCAGGGGGCCGGTCCACTGTCCCTCAGACCTTGTGGGGGGCCAGACTATATGTATGGGGGGGGGAATGAACAAATTCCTACACCCCACAAATAACCCAGAGATGCATTTTAAATAAAAGCACACATTCTTCTTCTTCTTATTATTATTATTACCCATGTAAACACATGCTGATTCCCGGATGGTCCACAGGCCAGATTTAGAAGGCAAATTGGGCCAGATCCAGCCCCTGGGCCTGAGTTTGCCTACCCATGGCTTTGGCCGTGTACACTTGTTCCACGAAACAGCAAGTTCAATGTCTATTTCTAGATTACATCACTATAAAACACTTTTCTTAAAAAATCAGTTTACTCAAAAGGTTCAAAGTGATTCTCCCCCCCTCCAAGCAAATTTACGTCATCCCTCTCTTGCAATGATGTTCACTGGGGTAGGGGGGAATGTGTACACCTGCTGTGACTTTTGCACATGTCAACACAAGACAAAGGTTAGACACATTGGGTGCACATTGCTTTCTATACCCACATTTTTATTTCCTGGGCTAGACGACAAAAAGTTAAGTAGTTGGCACAGGACGTTTGATCCCCTCATCTGCAAGGATGACGACCTGTCCCCATTCCTTCCAGTTCAGATGTCTGGCTTGGCCATTGGGCCTATGCCTGAATTTTACACACTCCTCCCTTGTTTTCTAGTTGTAGATAAACTACTACGGGTTTTCACATGTTGAGCCCTGAGAGGGAGAAACAGCTTTATTCTTTTGTGCCTTTAATTGCTGACAAAAGCGGTGGACCAAATTCCAGCTCTCTTTAAAAGACTGAGCTGGGATGAAGGGGAGATTTGCAACAGCAAATGCATGTACAACTTATAGATCAAAATCTGCTTCCTCTACGAACCTTTTGGAACATCTCTCCCTTCCAGGGACAGAAGGGAACCTGCTTTTCTTGGAACAAAGGCATTCCACATCAGACATCTCTTTGATGCGATACTGGGTCATTGTGCTCCAGATGGCTCTCTCACTCCCTCCCATCTCAAAACACCAAAAGTAGCGGGGGGGGGGGGGGGGCGTGCCTAGGTCTCTGAAAGGCAGACCTATAAAATGCTAATGAATATACAACATTGCCAATAAATTAGCACTCTGCAGCTTAGGTGTGAGACTGAACAGAAAAGGCTCAGACAGCGCTAGTGCCCATCTGTATCAGCCCTTACATCAATCCTGCTGCATTTTCCCTCTTCTAACCAAGAAAAATGTCACAGATTTGGTAAGAACTGGCCTTCAAGCAATACAGTACCTGAAAAGGGACGTGGAGAATTCCAAACAAGAGAGGATGGGAGAAACACTGATTGACTGATTGTTTAATTTCCAAAGCATTTAATATATTAAACACACATTAAGGCTAATAACTCAGGAGGTGTATATGGAGTGTTAGCGGTTAAAATATGCAGCATTCAAGGATAAACATAGAATGCTATGGAGAGGGGGATGGGAAGTCAATGGGTAAATTAAAGGTATTGTTGAGGGTAAAGTATGCAAACTTTTTTATAATTTTTATTATATATATTATATATATTATATATACGGGGTACTCTCATTTTGACTCAAGAAAATTTTATAGTTCAAATTGGAAAAAGTAAATACAGTAAATGGACAAAAGTGCAAAGATTCACAAAATGTTTAGGGGTATGCGTACCCCCTGAAAAAAGCACTATATATATAATTCTGTTGGATCAGATCAAAGGCCCATTCATTGCAGCATCTTCTTCCTCTTAAATGACCAACTAGAAGCCTATAGGAAGACACACAAACTGGACAAAAATGTGACAGCCCAATGGATTAAGCTTTTCTCATTGCTACATCTGCAGCAACCGTGTGGCGTGCCGACATGGGACATTTCAGAATATACGGAATTCCTCCTTTTGCCTTTATACCCAAACAGCACTGACCAGCGACACGAACACCTGATGTTCTGCTGACAAACTCACATAATTCCTCTAAATAGGTGCAGTGGACCTGCTGGCACACCTCAACGCTCGTTTTACTAGCGGTCCCCCTGCCGTAAAAGTTGAATACTGGGTCTACTTGAAAATTACGGCCTTGAGAACAACGCCTTGTAGCTTTCTTGCTTAACAGCAGTGAGAGCAAGTGTTTGGAGGTAGCTGCTAAAGCTAGCCACAGCTTAGCAATAAGCATTTGGCGCTGAGCAACTGTTGCTATTAATATCAGTAAGCAGGTGCCTCTGTAGAGATGTTACATAAAAAGCTGGAGGGGGGCGGGGTTTGGGAAACGCAACCAGGCCTATTAATTTGGGTTATTCCTTGACGGAGCAGTAGGAGTCACCAGAGAATGAGGCAATCTGCTCTTTTTTTTGCAGGGGATTTGTATACAGGTCTTTTTCTTAACTATTCCCATAGTCAGATCTTTGAATTCTTCGTTTTTGTTTCTAATAATAATGATAATAATTTTATTATTTATACCCCACCCAACTGGCTGGATTTCCCCAGCCCCTCTGGGCAGCTTAAGGGACAGAAAGGTAAAGGTAAAGGTACCCCTGACCATTAGGTCCAGTCGTGGACGACTCTGAGGTTGCGCGCTCATCTCGCTCTATAGGCTGAGGGAGCTGGCGTACAGCTTCCGGGTCATGTGGCCAGCATGACTAAGCCGCTTCTGGTGAAACCAGAGCAGCGCACGGAAACGGCGTTTACCTTCCCGCCGGAGCACTACCTATTTATCTACTTGCACTTTGACGTGCTTTCGAACTGCTAGGTGGGCAGGAGCTGGGACCAAACAACGGGAGCTCATCCCGTCGTGGGGATTCGAGCCGCTGACCTTCTGATCAGCAAGTCCTAGGCTCTGTGGTTTAACCCATAGTGCCACCCGCATCCCTCTACAGCACATAGATAAACCTAATAAAATATCAAACATTAAAAAAAATCCTGATACAGGGCTGCCTTCAGATGTCTTCTAAAAAGTTGTGTAGTTCTTCATCTCCGTGAACATCTTATGGGAGGGCGTTCCACAGGGAGGGAGCCACTGCTGAGAAGGCCCTCTGCCTGGTCCCCTGTAACTTCAGTACACCCAAGTTAAAATAATATAATCAAATGATGCCCATATATTTTAAATGGTACAAAAATGCATTTCAATATCCCACCCACCAAAGCCTGAGGACTTGAAACATATTTAAAAAAAAATAAAAAATGAAAGCTGGTTTGAATCAGAGCTGTAGTTCACCAGCCATTAAATCCCACATGGAACAGACTTTTCGTGAGTCAGTTTGGGTTTCTCTGTACTGGTGGTCGAACAGCTGGCTTCCGTTTGATTTTGCAGCCATCTCACATGTGTCTTAGATCTTAAACTATTAAAAATATGCAAGACTTGACCATTTAGCTTGCATCTACTGCAGTCATAGGAGGGATTCCTATGACAACGGCACATCCAGTATTGGACTTCACTTAACAGAACCGCAGTTCTATGGAAGTGAATATTGCCTGTTCCAAAACACACTTACGATTGCCCCAGTGGGTCTCAGCTATTAGCATAGCGAGCGTCACCAAGTCAAGCCTCTCCGGAGCAAAGGCAGATGGCTGCCTGACACAGTTTCGCGTTAACACAATTTGGTTATCATTTGCATCTCATTTTCCAAACTTAGGTGGATGCCAAGCAGTAACTGTTGGACTTACACAATATTCTTATTCATAAACAGATGCTCTCATGAAAAGCTTAAGTCAGCCGTCAACTGAATTTGTGGACCACGGGATGCTGCAATACACATTTGTATGGAGAATGCAGTGTTCGACTCGTGTCTGTCTTGAAGGCAAGGGAGCAATAGTGTAAGTCAGGGGTCAGCAAACTTTTTCAGCAGGGGGCCGGTCCACTGTCCCTCAGACCTTGTGGGGGGCCAGATTTTATTGGGGGGGGGATGAAGGAATTCCTATGCCCCACAAATAACCCAGAGATGCATTTTAAATAAAAGGACACAGTCTAATCATGTAAAAACACGCTGGTTCCCGGACCGTCCAAGGGCCGGATTTAGAAGGCGATTGGGCCGGATCCGGCCCCTGGGCCTTAGTTTGCGTACCCATGCTGTAAGTGAAGCTGCTTTTAAAAGTACAGTCGTGTGATTGCACAAATCACTGCAACAACTTGGTGTCAACCACCAAGTGGTTGTGCATAGTGTCATCAAATGAGGGCCTGCATATACCAGCCAGACACTCCCTAGCAGGGTCCCACATAGGTCTTACCATTGCTCCTGAGTAAAACAGAGTTGCCTCCTTGATACCCCAAGCAATGTGGGAGAAAATACACAGCTTTACTCCAAGAGCGTCCAAATACAAAGACAACATCAGCAAAGAGGTGAAAAGTCAAAACCTTTACCTTGTTTTGGTAGGTGAAATTTGTAATAAAGTGAACAGGTGAATCAAGGAAAGAGGGACAAGAAGCTCAATGACTTCTGTACCAAGGAATGGGATTAGCAGATTATTTATAACCCACCCCTTAAGTTCACTTCTTCCCAGCTGGATGCACAGAAATCTTTAGAAGTTGTATTTGATCATCACCGTACCTTGTCGCCAATGGAGATGCAGGCTTTGGAGTCCAAATCTCTAGGTGGCCTGCAAAATAGAAAAAAAAGAAGGCCCAGAAAACAGATTAGGAAGGAAGTATTTCAGGGCTCATATAAAACACATACAAACATTTCATTTTTATTCCATCCTTTCATCCCTCAAGGAAATCAAGGTGACCCAGGCAGGGATCCCAGGCATGGGGCAATCCAAGGCCTGCTTAGCTTCAGCGAGGCTGGTGCGCTGTGCACTTTCTTTAGACCATGCGCCGGGAACCAAATGTGAATACATGTCATGTATACACAACCTCAGAATTAGCCAAGGGTCACTCGGAAGGAGGAGTCTTTCCCATTTTTAACCCAACTTCCTGGTAAGATATATGGTCACTCCTTTGAGATAACAATTGCAGCTACACTTCTGGGAATAACAGCCCAAGAAAGATGTTAAATTATTTTTGTATGCCACAACTGCAGCAAGAATTTTCTTAGCGAAGAATTGGAAAACACAGAAAGTACCAACAGTGGAAGATTGGCAGATGAAGATGATAGATTTTTCGGAGCTGGTCAACCTGACTGGAAGAGTCCGCGACCAGAAGGAGGAGGAGTACCAGCAAGACTGGGTGAAATTTAAAGACTATTTAGCTAAATATGTTAAGATAACTTAATTGGAAAAGCTTGCAAATAATAGTTAGGCTTGGGATATAAATATGTAAGGATAAGATTTAAGATGTTTAAAGTTAAATTAGAAAGAATGAAAGATTTTAAGTGATTAAGTTAATTTTTTGAGAAAATCAATTTTGGAAAACTGTTAAAATGATATATAATGAAATTCAACCAAGGGGATTTGAGGAAGTCACTTAATAATGTTACCAAGATTTAAACAGGATGTATGTATGTTTGTTTGTCTGTTTATTTGTTTTGAATTTTTGGAAAATCAATTTAAAAAAATTGGGGGGAAAAACAATTGCAACTACTATCTACAAAGGGAGACGTGGACAATTTTCACAAGCTGTCAAGACCCTCATGAGCAGCTTTTTAAAACAGCTTTCCAAAGAGAAAGCTTGGTCTCTCCCTCCCAAGTGACTAGGCCCTCCTTCTTGCCTACAGAGTTTTTCTGACACGCATTTCCCTTTCTAGCTCAAAATGGTGGCAGGCAAGGAACACCCCCAGTAGCAATACAAACACATATTGGGTTGAACCAGACCCTGAATGATCCTAAACCTGATCTGAAATGGGCCTGTGGCGGACTCAAAATATTTCATCTCCAAATTCCAGCCCCCATTTTGGAATTTGCCACTCTTTTTCTCTCACCCCGCCGCAATATCTATTTTTAGCGCCCGCTCCACCTTAGAAATCACTGGTTTGGGGTTTCTCTACTAAGAAAAAACAGGGCTGCAAAAATTACACGGTGCAGTAAGAAACTAATGAAGTCAGGTAACCCCCAGCAAAAGCCAACATCTTTTCCATAAATAAGAAATACTCTTCTATTTATAGGCAGCCTGTAAAAAAAGACTGTATTTATCTTGTATTAATCTGCACCAGAAATAGCTAAGACCAAAGTGAGCAATGCTGAGCTTTGCCATAAATCCCTTCTTTCTGATGGAACATAAAGGGTCAGTCATGCTCCTGTTTTGCAAATGACTCCTAATCCAATACGTAAGAAGGCGCTCAGCTAAATTGCCCAAGTAAAACCACAACCAGTGTACCCCATGGGTTTAACATATATGCCAGCTTGCACGGCACCTCTTTTTTATATATAAAAAAGTGTGCCCTATAACGCTCCCTCAGACTATCTACAGCCAAAAATAAGTGGGTCATTGAATGTGACCATTGTGACAATCTTCATTAAAAGTTTTCTTTTCTTTTTGAAAAATGTATGCCTCAAACGCTCTTGCTTTGATATAGATTGCAAATCTTTTGTTACCGCTTAATTACCGAAGCCTTTAATCACATAATAGGAAAGCAGTCCTTCCTTCTAATAACGAACAGCAGCTTGCGGATGTAAACTGCTAAATTAAGCTATACTTCCTTCTATAAAGGTAAAGGGACCCCTGACCATTAGGTCCGGTCGTGGCCGACTCTGGGGTTGCGGCGCTCATCTCGCTTTATTGGCCAAGGGAGCTGGTGTACAGCTTCCGGGTCATGTGGCCAGCATGACTAAGCCGCATCTGGCGAATCAGAGCAGCGCACGGAAACGCCGTTTACCTTCCCGCCGGAGCGGTACCTATTTATCTACTTGCACTTTGACGTGCTTTCGAACTGCTAGGTTGGCAGGAGCAGGGACCGAGCAACGGGAGCTCGCCACGTCGCGGGGATTCGAACCGCCGACCTTCTGATTGGCAAGCCCTAGGCTCTGTGGTTTAACGGTAAAGCTAGGCATTATGGTCAACATGTGGAAGCTTGTTCTCTAGCCTGTGGAGCAATGGGTGGGGGATGTAGAACTTTGTGGCATCACCACACAAGGCGAGTTCAACTAGATATTAAAAGGGGAGGACAGAGTAAGTAGACATTTGATGGCTGTTTATAGGAGCAGCCACACTTTTTGATATTGCTAAGCCCGAGCCTAAAAAAAAAAGTACCTTTGGTACTATAATCCCACTACTTCAACTGAAGGACAGGAAGATGATTTCATCTGTTGACAGTGCCAGCTGTAATCCTTTTCCAATCCTAAAAATTGAGCTCTCATTTCATTCCAGCAAGTCTACAGAATCTCCATTTCTGGCTCTGCATGAAATCTCTCTGAAAATCTCTCCACATCACTTTCTCTATCCTAGGCAGTCCTCTCTTATGGGCATATTTTAACATCACCCTTTGAGGTGTCCTGGCATTTGACTTTCTAATGCTACAGACCCATGTATGTACCTGTGGATTGCATAGGCATGGCCCCTTGAAAGATCAAAGGAAGATCAGGGGTGGGAGATGGAAAATTGCCCTCCATAAGGTAATTAAAAGCCCTCCTAAGAGAATCTTCTGTCTTAATAAGTCCTTTCATTGACTGCAAGGGCAGTCTCAGGTTCCTGGTGGAGATCACGCTTCATTTCACTGTTTCGAGTTGTGGGGAGATTGTGGGAAGAGAGGAGGGGGGCAGAAAATGCTAACCCTTGAAGACTGTGTTCAAAGAGGCACCATAAGCTAAAACAGACCCCCTTTTTGAGAGAGAGGCATGCAGCAAACACAGTACGTGAAAGAGAAAATAACAGGGCATTGCCCATTGCCAGACAGGGCAGATTAGAGAGGAAAGCCGCCTTGACATAACCCATATCTTACCTTGGTACAATGAGAAAAGTTGAGAGTCTGTTGTGCTACCTAAAGAACTGTCAGGGGGTAACAAGCAATTCACCAAATTTCAAGGATCCAAGATACGCATCATGAGGCTGCCAAGACTAAGCAGGTTTATGTATTTTATCTGGAAGCAATGGAACCGACTTCCAAGGAAATCTGGTTAGGATAAAGGTGAGCACACTTTCCGGGTGAAGGACAGACTGAGAAATTATGACTGAGGGGCCAGGTGGATCTAGAAAAACTTTTCTTTTTCTTTCTTTCTTTCTTTCTTTCTTTCTTCTTTCTATTCTTCCTTCCTTCCTTCTGCTTTCTCTCTCTCTCTCTCTCTCTCTCTCTCTATCTTTCTTCCTGATTATTTTCTCAGTTGGCACAGCAGCCAGCTGTCCACTGTTCCCAGAGTTTACTCCGTTTACACAAGGTGATGGGTCATTTGACAACTCAATAATCTCAATCTTGCAGCCAAGAGCTTGTGAGGTATGGTATATTAAAAAAAATCTGAGAATCTCTTTCACCAAACCCAGAGATCCTGACCCTACGATCCGGCATAAAGATTTACCGTATTTTTTGCTCCATAAGACTCACTTTTTCCCTCCTAAAAAGTAAGGGGAAATGTGTGTGCATCTTATGGAGCGAATGCAGGCTGCGCAGCTATCCCAGAAGCCAGAACAGCAAGAGGGATTGCTGCTTTCACTGTGCAGCGATCCCTCTTGCTGTTCTGGCTTCTGAGATTCAGAATATTTTTTTTCTTGTTTTCCTCTTCCAAAAACTAGGTGCGTCTTGTGGTCTGCTGCGTCTTATAGAGCGAAAAATACGGTAATTCTTTTTCTACTGGTAGCTGCACATCTAGTGATAGAGTGTCACTGGAAATCCCAGGTGGAACTACCTCTATCTGAAGAAGTGTGCATGCACAAGAAAGCTTATACCCAGAACTAACTTAGTTGGTCTCTAAGGTGCTACTGACCAATTTTTTATTTATTTTTTATTATTTCCTCTAGAGATGTGGTTCAATAATATTTGGGATATAGCCAGTTCAGGGCGACTACCTTGGCTTAGAAGGGTTGCAAACGGGGTTATAAAGGAAAATACCTTTGATGAAACCTGGTCTCCCTTCTTTTTATATGTAAGGGGAAAAGAAAGCAAAGCTCTCCCACCAGCCTCACAAACCTGTCTGTGAAGAACCTATATGGACTTGCCAGTGTTTTAAGACCATGTAAAATGGCATTGGCCTGGCACCTGCTTCGTATAATATAGTCAGGCTTTCCAGAGCAGATTTTCAGACATGTGGAGAGAAAAAGAAGGGGATGTTCTATGGTGTGGACAGAACTCTGCTTGCGTGTGGCACAGGATACAACCCTATGGTTTTCACCTTCTCATTGAAACACAGTCCCCAAAGTACTATGTTGGACTGCTTCTAACACACCCCTGAGCTTGCCAACAGAAAATGTTTTACGTCAATAGGCCATTAGGCATGCAAGAGTTGTTTCTCTGCATTGTGGTCTTTGTTAGGGAGTATTCACATCACCAACCTTCTTTCCAAAATCCATCTGAAATAAGCACTGCACTATATTATCATGTTAACTTACGCAGGTATGTAAAGCTCACCACACACGTTTGCAAAACAACTTAATACTGGGCCATTAACTCTCTTTCTAAATAGCAAGTAATAGAAAAATAATTTAAAGTGTGGTTTCCCTTTCTCTATTCTTCACCACATTTGCTTTGGAATATCAGAATGCAGACCCAGAGTCTCTTTTCACTAACTTGCACAACTGCGGGCTTTTCCATTGTTTCGTCACTCCCGCGCCACCCTGAACACCATATCTATGAAGAATCCCATTTTGTGTACAATCGCTTCAAGCCAGGCGTCCACAAATCCACTTGCCTAGCCTTCTAGCAAGCAGAACCTCCTGGATCACGCACATCCCTACTCTGGAGGTCTCACTTCCACTGCAGTTTTCAAGCAGGTTAAGAAACAGAATAACGTTCCAAGCGGCAGAAAGACTCCCGCTGTTTCTTGCTCTGTGTACTCTGCACAAATGGGAGAGGACCCTGCCTCACTTCCATGTCGAGTCTGCATTCCTGGAGGCTCAGGGAGGGGATTGGTGATGACCAGAAATAATAGCTGACTAGTACGCCAAGTTGACATTTATGAACCCCTGCTTCAACCCCCACCCCCAACCCAACCCAAAGCAATCATGCTGAGATTTCAAGACATACGTAGAGCTCGTCTGTGGTTGTTCAAATGCTTCTTTAGGAATTTTCAGCCCTGGATTTTTCTTCCTGCCTGTGAAATAAAGAACAGAGAGGGGGGGAAATAAGAACAACTTTTCTTCAGGTTTCAGAAACATCTTGCAGCACAGGGCTTGTTTGTAGTGCTTGATTTAAGTGCCAGGTCTAATTTGACACAGGCACCTGAATGCTGAAGAGGAGAGAGTTCAAAATACAAAGTTTCTTTGTTGGGATTCAGATTATACACTTCGGGTTCTAACTGATGCAGTCAGCAGTTCAAGCACACATCTGCATATTCTCACTGCTGCATTCAACACAGCAGAATAATATGGCATCCTGACATGTCCATCTTGCCTTAATTTATTTTTTAACTCTCTAGCATTGCATTATATGGAGAGAGGAAATGAAAATGTGCAGGTGATTTTGGGGTGGGGGAAAGTTGCGAAACCAAAGTGGACACCTTTGTGATCATGTCTTCCAGTCAAAAGAGGTGCTGTGAAAGACTCTGCAGTTTTAAATAGCTCAGAGACCCATACCCTGGCTTTTCCTGATTCTTTCTGCTCCTGGTATTTTGAAATCCACACGAGTCAAAAATGAAGCAACATGGAATGAAAATTGCAGGAATGAATGAATTTATCCTAAGGGCAAAACGGAGACTTGGTTAGCACAGAAACTGGGTGGCTGGGTCTGAAGGAGTGAGTCTCTATTAAGCAGGCACATGGATCGCGCAGCAAGCAATGGTTTATACACTGACCTGCCAAACTCTTCTTTAAATCCCTTCAACCTGAACCCTGTTGAAAGGCTACTATGTTAGCCCAAACTACATTCAAGTATCAACACAGGAAAAACCAATAGGTTACACTAGCCAAGCCAGACAGGCATAGAAGCCAAATCCATAACAACATATACCTCGCCCATCTGTCTGGGTTTCCCCAGCCACTCTCGGCAGTTTACAGCACATATTAAAACATAGTAAGACATCAAAAATTAAAATTTCCTGATACAGGGCTGCCTTCAGATGTCTTCTAAAGGTTGTATAGTTACTAACCTCCTTAACATCTGATGGAAGGGCATTCCACAGGGTGGGTGCCACTACCGAGAAGGCCCTCTGCCTGGTTCCCTGTAACTTGACTTCTCACAGCGAGGGAACCGCCAGAAGACCCTCGGAGCTGGACCTCAGCTGAGGTGGACAAGCTCCTTCCAGTATACTGGGCCAAGGCCATTTAGGGCTCCTAGGGGCTGAGGTCCCTTCCCCCCCATAAAATATTTGAGGGGGACCTCCCTCAAGTTGAGGGGAATTCCCATTCAAATGGGTTATCTGTGCCATGCCATGTGATCAATTGCACGCAGAAGAGCTTACCCCCCCCACTCCAATATTTTATTCAAGTTGGGCCCCCTGCCGAAGGTGTAATATGCAGATCTATTGCAGCATCAAGTTCCAGTTCTTCAGGGGAGGAAGTAGCTAGAGAACAAAGCCTCAGGTCAGGAGCACAGATGCGAATCCATATCTTTTGACCATTTTGTAGCCCACAATAGGGACACTCCTGGGGAGGCATGCAGACTCAGGGGCAAAAGCCATGCAGCCGGATGCGGCAAGAGCAGAAAGCAGGTTGACTACAAATGGCAAAACTGCACTCTGTACTATGAGACAAATCCATACAGAAGGCAAGATATTTGAAGACTTGGACTGTCCTCTCCACAATCGCCACAGAGACAATCTGCCCTCTGGGAAGGAAAGGAAAGAGGAAGGGAGGCAGGCTAACACAACATTAGGACATTCTCCAGTCAGACTGTCGCTTCCTTGACCCCCCCCCCCCCCGCATGTGAGAAGTAAGTGTTCCTGGTTATTTTGGTGGTGCTGGTGGTGCTGGTGTTTTGGTGTTTGTGGCCCTGGTGCATCTGTTGTGTTTTACACAGGCGTTGTCAGCTGCTTTGAGGGCTTTAGGCAGAAAGCAGAACACACATCTTCTAAATGGATAAATATGCACTATATTGCATACAGTAGGAGTCTTGTGGAACTGCATGATGTCCAGCATCAAGAATGGGAATGAAAGGGTTCACAGGTGTGTTGCTTGGAAGGAATTCAACGGCATTTCTGTTGCTATTATGATTGTTTGATTTCAGGTGTCAGGTGGAAGGATCTCCTCCCAAAGTCAAATACAGGAACGTGTGTAGAGAAAATCTGCAAGGCCGTTTTGTGTCTTTCCTCTCACCCCACCTTTTCGACAGCCAGAAGTAAAAGACTGGTGTGCTGGCACAATAGATACAAATCACATTACAGTGGTACCTCGGGTTAAGTACTTAATTCGTTCCGGAGGTCTGTACATAACCTGAAACTGTTCTTAACCTGAAGCACCACTTTAGCTAATGGGGCCTCCTGCTGCTGCCATGCCGTCGGAGCACGATTTCTGTTCTCATGCTGAAGCGAAGTTCTTAACCTGAAGCACTATTTCTGGGTTAGCGGAGTCTGTAACCTGAAGCGTATGTAACCTGAAGCGTATGTAACCCAAGGTACCACTGTATATGCATCCCTGAACTGCACTGAGACCGCCAGGTATAGGGCGGTATATAAATTCAATAAATAATAATAATACAGTAAATAATAATAATAATAATAATAATAATAATAACAACAACAACAACAACAACAACAATCGCACTACCACACATTCGGTTTCATTTTGAACAAAATCAGGAAACCATGGTTCTCCAGTTCTAAGCCTTAAAAGAGGGCTGTTTGTTTTCAGCAACTTCAAAATGATGGACAAACCACCACACCACCTCCTCAGGCGTCGATTGCAACATTCGTCAATTAACTCTCATCGTTAAAAAATGCTTCTCTTGATATTTAGCCTGTAGCTTCCAGTCATTGCAACATGTCTGGGTTGGCAAAAATAAAAAAAAAGAAGGTGCCACTCTACAAACACATACCTTCATTTGCCCAAGTAGCTGGGAATTACAAGTTGCTAGGGAGCACAGAGAACAACAAACCCCTTTTAAAAAATCCAAGTCAAATTCAACTGTAACAATGGGAATAAGGGGGGGAAAGAAGGAAGTATATTCCCAGCATGGCCTGCAATAAGGAGATTTGGGGTAGGGTGGGAATAAAATCAAGTCTTGGATTTCCTTTTTTTAAGAAGATATTCGCTATGTTTCAGGGCCCACCGTACCCCTTGTGACTTTAATGTCTTTTAAACTGTGTATTGTGTTTAATATCTTGTTTCTAAATTGCAGCAACCTACCCCCAGTGAAGAAACAAAAAACAAAAAAAAAGAAATGATGTGGTCAAGTGTTTACAGACCTTCAGAATATCATGGTTCAGTCAGTACAGGCCCAAGACATTTTGCAGCCTAAAGTGTTATGACCCAGGGATCAGACTCCCCATCCTGAGGGGAAGAAGCCATAGACTCAGAGGACATCTCTGACCAGGGACACAAAGTGCCCTCTAAAACAGCCTATGGCATCCCTGCCCTCTCAAAAATCCAAACACCAGAGAAGCTTGTGATACCTCTCTGGCCTGAAGAGTTTGCATTACCCTCTTCAGGCTTCAGTCATTTCTAACCAGCACACAATTTCCCAGTGTATGCACAGAGTTGCACAGGGTGCTGTCCAGGGGCAGACGAAGTGGGGGGCGGGCCACCCCGGGTACCACTCTGGGGGGGTGACAAGATGGCCCCTGCCTCCCCCCAGCTGTAGAGAGGCCGAGGGTGCGTGCAGTCAGTATGGGCGCCACTCGTGCGGCATCCATACAGGCTGCCACTGCTGCGTGTGCGCACATATGGGATGCCGCACATGCACAGTTCATCCAGGATGCCACACGTGCGCAATCCGTACGGATGTTGTGTGTGTGCCACCGAGTGATTCGCCCCGTCCCTCAACGTCCCGCCCCGGGTGCCAGAAAGGGTTCCTCCGCCACTGTCCCTTTTTAAAAATAAAAAAAAGCCTCAATGAATTATCACACAAGCGGTACTCTCAATCAGTGTTTATGTATCTTAACTCTCCTTAATTTAAGATTTCAGTTATAGGTGCGACGAATACTTGATATTTATGACTTTTCTACAGAGACTGAATTAATGAACCACCGTTTCAGCAGGCTTACCATTAAGTTCAATAATGAAAATCAATAGCCACCCAAAAAACAGGTTGTCTGGGGAGGTTTCGCGCCAATATTTGTGAGGGATTCGTTTGAAATAAGACATTCTTCCTCTTTTGTGTATACTGATAATTTCAGCAATTTACCGTACTTTTCCATCTATAAGACTATGTTTTTTTACTCTAAAATAATGTCTACACTGATAGTGTCTCCCCCCCATTTTCTTAAATCGAAGTCCCCCAAAATAGGGGGCGTCTTATACATGAGGGTGTTCTATAGGTGGAAAAATACAATATATATCGCTTAGCACTGTGGTTTCTATATCATATATCACCCACAAACACTATTACATAGCCATAGCAGGTTTTCCACCTTTGTCTTGATGCTTTAATTCCCCCTTTTGAAGTTGCAAAGTACAGAATGGATTCTCTTTACCTGCTTAAGAAAACGAAAGAGGCAGCACTGTGAAATACAGTGTGTGTGTGTGTGTGTGTGTGCGCGCGCGCGCCTGCTTTTCCCCTTTACTAGGTTTTTGGCATGTTAATATACTGCACTGATACTCCTCCAATCTCATAGAAATCCCCCTGATCTGGCAACTTGCCTTGACACCTGCATACTTGCCTCTGAGCAAACCTGAGGACCTCCACTTAACAACCGTCTCAAACTGTCTCAGCGCCTCTTTCGTTACAACATCACAGCATTACAACAACAACCAACCAACCCTTTTCCACCGTCCCAGCCTAACGCACATGAAATCCTGCTTGATCTGCTAATGGTGGCATCTACAAAATGCTAATGACAGGGCAATGAGACGAACACGGACGTAGCAACCACAAAGCAGAAACAGACATTCCTGAGCCCTCTATTCAAGCTGACTGCAGCTAGGCCATGGTTCCATTCATCTTGGAGACTATCAAAAAACAACAGCCAGGTAGGAAAGATTCCCACCATCCACGGGTGTGAAAGGTTCACCAGAGGAACAATGAGGCCCGCTTCCTGCATTATCCTTTCCTACAGACACTGATTTCCATTATTTCCCATTGCTCACATCAGCTGCCCAACCCACCTATCTGGGATACTAAACATATTTGCGTCAAAATATGACTGCGGTTTCCTGTTCGGGCAACAGATAACATACAGAGCAGCCCAAAGGCTAGCCCTGGTAGGAGTTCAAAAGACAGAAAACTTGGGTCAATATTAGCAGTTTTTAAAATTTTGTTTGTGGGACGGTACTAGAAGAGTAAGAACCAAGGAAAGGGATTTAGTCTTTCAGCTGTGATTGGTTTTTGTTGCTGGTATGTCTTAAGTGAATGCAGTTTGCAGGCAGCTCTCAACTTACACAGGGGTTACATTTTGGAAATAGTGCGTAAAATCATGCACAGTCACACAGAAAAAGTGGGGGAATGGGTTCAATTGTGGGTGGGACTGTCAAAGTCATTTTCCCGAATGCTCGCCCCAGTTTAAAATGAAAGTAATCTTTCTGTCAAGCACGTAAAGCAGTGTTCGAAACACCCATTGTTCTAGGCGCATTTTGCGAGAGGGAATTTCATTAGTGTGAGCAGTTTCTGAGCTCTGGGCACAGTACTGCGCTTAAGATTTTAGATTAAAACGGCAGAGTGGAAGGAAAGGAGGACCTTTTTCTGCCTCCCCACTTCCAGCTATTCTCTGAAGACTGGAGAAGAGACCCTCTTAAGGATATTGAGGGGGGCAGGGGAAGGACTACACCATGTGAAAAATGAACGTAATATTTTAGTTGCAGTTCATTCATTTTCAGCTTTGTATTCTTGTTATATAAAAAAGGGGGGCAGGAAAGTTATCTTCAAAATAAGACCATCATTACGGATCATTTTCCAGGGGCTGTTACTTAATGATTCCAGCACAGGCAAGGCAGCTATTAACTTGGCTGTGCTAGAATCATTAACTAACAGTCCTAGATAATGATCTATAATGATGGTCTTATTTGCTTAGGTATCAAGAAAGAAGATTAGGGGGCTATTTGGCAACTGCTGTGTTTGTGAATCCTTGGGTTTACCAATATATTGGTCATTCTCTTTCTGCAACCGCATTCATTTTAGAGCAGGGACAGGGAACCTCCAGTGCACAGGCCAAATTTGGCTCGGCAGGGGATCCTAATTTGGCCTGTAAGGCTGTTTTCTGCATCCACACCTGATGTAATGCGGTAAAGACTTGGCTGCGAAGGAACAATCAGGAGCCTCAAAGTGCACTCTCAATAGTTCCTTGGCAAGCAGGGGTTGTATTCAGTGCCTTTTAATAGCAAGCCTCACTGTGTTGGGGTCCACTCAGAAGCTCTCAAGTGGCACCAATCCCTTCTGGAAGTCGGGCTTGCAGTTCGTACTTCTCAACTGACAGGCGTCAAACATAAGCCTTGCTGGGATTGGCTGCTTTTCAGAGTTCTCAATTTTGAGCTCCCACGTGTCACTGGTCCCTGCAGAAAACAGGACCCACTTTCCGCAGGAATCTTCCTTTGCAGACCGACTTGCATTCAAAAATTGTCCTCCTTGCGGACATGGTTTCAAACCAGACCTGCAAAAGGAAGGACAGAATTCAGAAATGCACTCTAAGTGCATTCCTTATTCCTTCCTTCGAAGTTTGGTCACCTAATACCATGCTGGCTAGTGGGTAGCCCGGCCCATCTTTGTCAAAAACATGCAAATAGGGATCAAGTAGACATGGACTTGAATGATCTCTATTGGATTTCTGTCTTCATAAATGGTATAGAGACAGGAGTGAGAAGTGAAGAAGACAAAGTCTGTGTACGGCACATATTATTAAAGATAGTGAATATTTAAGCAGACTGTACACACCTCAAAATGATTTCTTCTGAACCAGGTGAACCAACAAACATGGTTCAATGTAAAGAAAATCCAATTCATGGCATAGTGATGGCATCTTAACTGGTTGTGTCTATTTGGAGACGTCTCCAGGTTATGGAAATCCAATTCATTTCAAGCTCTGTGGAGGGCCAACATATCTAATTTCTCTTTCTTTTTCCTCCTTCTTTCTCTCTCTTCTATCTATCGTACTGTTTTTTTAAAATGAGGTTTCTTTATGACACAGGCTTTGTGATTGATCTGGTTCTAAAATACTATTCATTTTTGTTTAACTAACTGATCCACACGTTTAAAAACATTTTATCATGTGGATTCTTCGTTGTTTCAAAATGTATTTCATTTCATGATTAGGTAAGATGCTTTGTGAAGGCTTTGCCCTAAAATGCAGCTTCTAAACAAGGGTATCATCACAAATGGTTAACAGCTTCTGAAGAAACCAGAAAGAAGCCATGGTTTAGCGCTGGCTTCCAGATCCTGGCTAATTTAGAAGTCATTAATCATAGCTCCTGATTTTGATGTTAACTGGAAGCTCTGGTTAACCAAGGCTCCTAGGCTTGTTCACTTGTTTGCACGATGGGAGGAGCGTGTACTGGGTCTCAGCATATCTAGGAAAGGCAGAATGGAAGTCTTTTAAATGCTGAGAGACGCCAATGTTTCCAAGCAAGAACATTGCCAAGAGTTTCAGCTTGCAGCTTCTAGGATCACTTTCCCTAATCCCAGTTGTTTACAGTAAGCCTCAGAAGCTGAAAAAGTGTAGCCTGTTTTCAATACATCATGAACTTCACACCCCACACTGGGTGGTATTGGCGCTCCTAGAGACTGCTGCTACTGCTGCTGTTATAGCAAAACTGACTAATGCTACATTCATTCATAATGGCCTCCTTTGTTATGACAAGCCCATTGGGGGGAATACACTGGTTCCAAGAGCTACCATGTCCTGATTCCTGGGATCTATAAAGGGCTGCCTTCAAACAAGCCACTTTAGCTTCAATACTGTCCACTAACTGTCAGCCACTCACCAAAGCAGAAACATTCCCCAGCTTCACTACCTGTAACTGCAGATCAGGGCTGTCTTAAGCATATGCGGCGCCGGGGTGTAAAGATCCGCCCGGCGCCCCCCTCCCCCAGGTTGCCCAGTCCCAGGCGCGCAGGAGGCCGGAGCCAGCTGGCTGCCTCAGCGTCTTGCTGGCTCGGTCAGCCCCAAACTTGCGGCGCAGAGCCACCTGCAGCAGAAGAGCCTGTCGTGGCACTCGAACCGAAGGATGGGCTCTTCCCAGGACTCAACTCTCGGACCCTGGACTCTCGGCCTGGCGTCCCTGAGAGCCCGGTGCCCCACACCCCTAGCGCCTATGGGTAAGACGGCCCTGCTGCAGATTCAGAAGGCGGTGGGGGAGAGGCAGTTCAATATGATCCATTAGCTTTCTACAGATCAGACTTCTGATATGGAGTACAATGGTACCTCGGGTTAAGTACTTAATTCGTTCCGGAGGTCCGTTCTTAACCTGAAGCACCACTTCAGCCTCCTGCTGCTGCCGCGCCACCAGAGCACGATTTCTGTTCTCATCCTGAAGCAAAGTTCTTAACCTGAGGTACTATTTCTGGGTTAGCGGAGTCTGTAACCTGAAGCATCTGTAACCTGAGGTACCACTTTACAGTCGTACCTCAGAAGTCGAACGGAATCCGTTCCGGAAGTCCACTCGACTTCCAAAACGTTCGGAAACCAAGGCACAGCTTCCAATTGGCTGCAGGAAGCTCCTGCAGCCAATCGGAAGCCGCGTCGAACATTCAGGTTCCAAAGAACGTTCGCAAACCGGAACACTCACTTCCAGGTTTGCGGCGTTCAGGAGCCAAAACGTGCAAGTCACAAGGTGTTCGGCTTCCGAGGTACGACTGTAGTAGCATTTGCACAGTGTGGTGTAGTGGTTAAGAGCGGTAGTCTCGTAATCTGGTGAACCGGGTTCGTGTCTCCGCTCCTCCACATGCAGCTGCTGGGTGACCTTGGGCCAGTCACACTTCTTTGAAGTCTCTCAGCCCCACTCACCTCACAGAGTGTTTGTTGTGGGGGAAGAAGGGAAAGGAAAATGTTAGCTGCTTTGAGACACCTTCAGGTAGTGATAAAGCGGGATATCAAATCCAAACTCTTCTTCTTCTTCAAACCACCTCCACCTAAATCATGGGTAGGCAAACTAAGGCCCGGGGGCCAGATCCGGCCCAATTGCCTTCTAAATCCGGCCCGCGAACAGTCCGGGAATCAGTGTGTTTTTACATGAGCAGAATGTGCCATTTAAAATGCATCTCTGGGTTATTTGTGGGGCGTAGGAATTCGTTCATTTTTTACCCCCAAAAAATACAGTCCGGCCCCCCACAAGGTCTGAGCAACAGTGGACCGGCCCCCTGCTGGAAAAGTTTGCTGACCCCTGACCTAAATGGATTGCCATAATCCAAAGGGGCTGCATCGCATGAACTTTATGAACAGTTGCCCTGAATCTCTGCACAAATGTTGAATATTTGGGCCTTGGTTTTTAAAAAAGAACTTAGGGAAACGTTTTAACATTCAGTGCACACTAGGAGTATAGAAGAAGACTGGGTGGCATATTTATTTATTTTTATGTTTCCCTTTAACTCCAGTCCAGACAGTCAAATCTATCTTTGCCTCTCCTCAGGAAACACAAGTGCCAGAGTACATCATCTGGGCAAACTGCATTTGTTCCTTTCATGTTCTTTGCCTTAAGTGGCAAAACAGAAGTAACACAGTACATAGCTTACTAGCAGGCAGCTACTGAAAAAAAATCTAACCCAATGCATACCCAAGCCAGAAGAAGTGGGGATATACAGTGGGAGGGGGGATTACATCGTAAAGCATTTCAGTAAGTTTGCTACCATCTCCAAAGCCACTGATACCAGTTTTATCAGTGCAAACAGGCCACCTGCAAGGTTTGTGCCGTGACAACATTCCACAGTTCATAGCATACAGTGAGGATTATATTCTACAAAGTGCAATTTGGAGGGAGGGGAGGCAAAACTAAAATAACAAGGTTGTTGCTAGTGAGAGTTGAAGTGCACTAGATGAACTGTGAAAATTGCAGGGATGTTTGTACAGTCTCAGTTCAGAGCACGGCATGGTTACTTGCGTCTCAAAACATTACCCCCCGTGTGAGGAAAGTCCGATTCTTTCTAGCACCTGCAGAAGAAGAATCTACTTGGGAGCTGGCTTGCAAATCATTTTGGCGAGATTTCAAGCAGCCGATTTATATGAAAAATTGCAATTAACTCACTCAAAAATATATATATATACGGAGTTCAACTACCCAAATCTCTGTCCATGTAAACTTTTTAAAAAAGTATTTATTTGATAAATTTGCACTCTGCACTTACAATCAGAATGGCCTCTGGCTGGGGTGGGGGTGGGGTGGGTAACACAAAATAGAACATTTGTTTCGTGGCTTCCCAAAATTTTTCCACTTTAATATTTTCATTTAGTTATTACTGAACATTTTCATGTGTCCCTTGCTGTGATTTTTCTGACTGCCCAGGGCTCCCTCAAAATTATCCCTAATAAAAATAAATTTTAAAAAATTCAAAATTGGCCATGCTCATCTTTACACGCAGCCCTTGAAGGGCTGACCATGTGTCAATGCAGCACGAAAAATGTTAGCAAATCCTGGCATAAAGGGGTCTTCACCCAGTAATGCCAGCAGCAACCTTAGAACACCGGGGGGGGGGGGGTTCAGGCTGGGACAAACTTTCATTGCATACGGTCAGCGCCTGAATGATATTGAGCATCAGAACAACTTGGCCACAATAAGGAAATTTTGCCCATGATATGACTATTTTCTACCTTCCCATTTTGAATCTGGAACCCTATCTGCGTAACCTACCAATTCTAAAATACAGACATGCTTTTACTCTCACAAGATTGAATGTATTGCCCTCGGCTGTACTTGAGGGACGATTCCAACAGATTCCATACGAAAAACACTTATGTCCCTGTGGAGATGGCAGTACCGAATCGGTGGTGCATACCCTGCTGGCTTGCACTCTTTATAAAGACCTGAAGTTATCACCCCTCTTTTACTGTGCATTCCAGGTCACCCAACCACTGCCACAGTGTCCTTTCTCTTGGCAGATCAAGATGAGCAGGTGACAGCAAAGGTTGCAAGGTTTTTAGCTGGGGCAATCAGAATAAGATCCACTCTTTGACTATTGATTCAAAACTCTAAAATCTATTTTATATAATTGACTTTTTATTTCTATTCTTTGAATATCGTATTGTTGTTTTATTGCTATGACCGACGCAAATAAAGATTCATTCATTCATTGCATATGGCTTTTGCAAAATTTGAAACAAGCTCAAAGATATATTGTGCAACATAGCACGTTTTCAAATACAAATGATGTACTTGGATAACTCAGTTGGTTAGATTGGGTACTGATAACATCAAGGTTGCAAGTTTGATCCCTGTATGGGACATCTGCATATTCCTGCATTTCAGAAGGTTAGACTAGATGTTTCTCAGGGTCCCTTCCAACTTTTTATTTTAATCCTTTGTTTTTCTGCTTTTTTTTTAAACCTTCATTCTGGTTTTTATATACTATGTTTTGTATGGTATTGTCAGTATTCACAATACCATACAAAACATAGTATGTAAAAACCAGAATGAAGGATTTTTTTAAAAAGCAGAAAAACAAAGGATTAAAATAAAAAAAAAATAAAAACCAGCTAATGAATTCTTCATCAAATCATGGCATGAGGTCAATTTTTGAAATCGCCTTTGCACAGATCCTTGTGGCAACCCATGTAAAAAAGTGAAACCCTACAAGTCAAACAAAACAAAATCAGACTACCATCAAAATTAAGCCCAGTAAAGGTGTGCTATCACAATAAAATAGTATCTAGAAATTTTAAAAAGGCTTCTAAGTATGAAGGACAAAAAATTTGTAGTATGGAAGACCAACTCTCAGTAATTTCACTAAGCCATTTATGCTGAGACAGAGAACCCTGGTGATATTGGCCATCCATCACGGCTGATAGCATAGTCTCACAACTGACAGCTGTAAAGGCTTGGCTGTGCTTAGGAAAAATAAGATTAACTAAACAGGAAGCTCTGCAATGGTGATTTTAAAAAAACAAAACCAACCACCTGGAAAATTTTAAACTTAAAATTAAATTGCTTTATCAGACAACACACTTCATTTAAAAGTCCTATCCCTTGAGATTAATGAGGGTGAGCAAAAAAAAATAGAGCAATAGCTGAGTATTATTATGTATATATCTGGAAACCCAAGTATTGCTATTCTGTAATGTGATATAATACAGTTACGATAGGTATTTATCTAGAGAGTTTTCCAGGTTTTTTAGTAGTTAGGAGTACAGTGGTACCTCGTGTTAAGAACTTAATTCGTTCTGGAGGTCCGTTCTTAACCTGAAACTGTTCTTAACCTGAGGTACCACTTTAGCTAATGGGGCCTCCTGCCGCCGCCGCGCGATTTCTGTTCTCATCCTGAGGTAAAGTTCTTAACCTGAGGTACTATTTCTGGGTTAGCAGAGTCTGTAACCTGAAGCATCTGTAACCCGAGGTACCACTGTAGTATTATTTGATCTCACTCTACATCTGCTGATATCTTTGTGCATTCAGCAGCTTCCATGGGCAGAATGCAGAATACACACACACACACTCATACACACATACACCTGCCATTTTTGTTATTTATTGCACAGTAATCTGGCATGCATAAAGCCCAGTGTCCAAAGTCTAGTGACAAAGAATGCACTGGAAAATTTACAGATGTCAAAGTATGCATATGTCAACAAGTGCTGGTCAATGGACCCCTCCCCACAAGGACCATGAACCACAATTACTACTTCCTGACATACAGATAATCTCACTGCAACACATGTTATAATGTGGCCTCCAAACAGCCAATTGTCTTTTCGAAAACCCGCAAACAAGAGTTGGCTATACATAATAATCCCACCCCCTCTATTACAAGCCAGGAAATCCTGCAAAGATTACTCAGTTTTCTATTAATCATTCAGTCTCAGAAGAGAATGGCCATCATCCCATCTAGCGCAAATCCTGGCACTTGTTTTCTTCCCCTTTCAACAGGCCCTCGTATCCTGCTAACTCCACTTTTATTTCCTAAATCAATCAAGCCTCTCTTAGAGCTGTTACATCAGTCTTGCGTTTTAACACATCGCTTGCTGGAGATCAGACAGCTGATGTTCCCTGTATACGAACATTTGGAAGGGTAGTACCCTCTAGAATGATGCTCTTGTTGATACTGATTTATATACTGCTATCTATTAACATCCTTTGAAATAAGGAAATACTTTACACTAGGGATTTTCACCCCACTGCAGCCGGCAGAGCCCCACTGATTTGTCTGAAAATGGGTCAGTTTCGGCACTGGACCACGTCTGTTGTTAAGAGGGAATGAGGAAATGAAGTTTTAAAAAATGAGAGGGTGGGTGTTATTGGCCTTTGTTGTGTTTTACTGTTGCATTCCATGGCAGGCTTAATTCTGCAATTTATTTATATTCTGGGATTTGAAAAGGATTCACCAGATTGTTCTTCTTCACACTTGCAAAAGAACTCACATTTTTCTGACCCGTGGAAAAAAACAACACTTGTCATTATAAAAAGACCAGAACAAGATTTTGAGGAACTTTGGAGTATAGAAGAGGAGACAACTACCTCAAATATCTTGCATGCGAACATTATTTGTATTTGCTTTTATATTTAGCTAGTTGTTTAAAACTGCCAATAAATCTTAGGTTGCATTTATTTTCCACTAGCAGGAATGGCCTGATGTTGATTGGAATTTCTGAGAATCAGAGCAGTTGTTTTTTATTTATTTTATTTTTTGTTTTGCCTTTTACAATGTTTCGACAACAGAAAATAAACGAATTCCACCGATGTTTTCTGCAACTTCCCTCCCCCCACCCCCCACCCCCCGCTGTTTCTAATTTTATATCATTTTCTTACTGGATAAACACAAAATCAGAGCAGATTTGATAGGTTCTGTCCATCACCTTGGTTCCGAAAGGTGTCCAATTTTATAAAGGTCCAAAACATAGACAAAAACGTGTTTCTGTATTTCAGGAACCATAGTGCAAAACTGGGTTGCGATACTTTAAGTGTACAAATGTACGGAGAACGGACAAACAGATGAACAAATTTCCAAAATAAAGAGTGGATTTTAGAGCTTTGCTGACAACAGGTTGGTGATGGATAAATTCCTCCAAGCTGGCCTTGGAATGCGACTGAAACTTCCCCACCTTCCCCCAGAGCTCCAAACTTGCTCATAACTCACTCTGAGTCTCTATCTCCATCGTTCGTCCCTGGCTCTTAGACTGCTGCACCACCACTGGTACCAGGATTCCTCTGAAGAGCAAGACCTCCCTCTCTCTCTCCCTCTGGTAACATCACTACCACAGCAGCTGCCACTGTGTAAGTCAGGGACAGGAAAACTGGCTCTTTAGATCCAGCTGAGGTCCGGCGCCAAGGGCCTTCTGGTGGTTCCCTCATTGCAAGAAGCAAAGCTACAGGGAACCAGGCAGAGGGCCTTCTCGGTAGTGGCACCCGCCCTGTGGAATGCCCTCCCATCAGATGTCAAAGCGATAAACAACTACAGTGGTGCCTCGCAAGACGAAATTAATCCGTTCCGCAAGAGTCTTCGTCTAGCGGTTTTTTCGTCTTGCGAAGCAAGCCCATTGACGGATTAGCGCTATTAGCGCTATCAGCTGTTTAGCGGCTATTAAAGGCTTAAAGGCTTAGGGGATTAGCTGCTAAAAGGCTATTAAAGGCTATTAAAGGCTTAGCAGATTAGATAAAGGGGGAAAAGCGAAAAAAATCTCTAGACTCGCAAGGTATTTTCGTCTTGCGAAGCAAGCCCATAGGGGAATTCGTCCTGCGAAGCAACTTCAAAACGGAAAACCCTTTCGTCTAGCGGTTTTTCCGTCTTGCGAGGCATTCGTCTTGCGGGGCACCACTGTACCTGACATTCAGAAGACATCTTAAGGCAGCCCTGTTCAGGGAAGTTTTTAATGTGTGACATTTTAGTGTATTTTTGGTTTCTGTGGAAGCCGCCCAGAGTGGCTGGGGAAACCCAGCCAGATGGGCGGGGTACAAATAATAAATTATTATTATTATTATTATTATTATTATTATTATTATTGTTGTTGTTGTTGTTATTATTATTATATTATATTATAATTATTATTATTATTATTATTATTATTATATTATATTATATTATTATTATTATTATCATCATCATTATTATTATTTAGATGTCGTTGGACTCCAACTCCCATCAGTACCAGGCAGCACTGTCAATGGCCAGGGATGATGGGCTTTGTAGTCATGGGTTTCCCCATTGCAACAGTACATGAAAAGGGAAAGAAGAGTTTTAATCTGAGTGGCTTAGATTAAAATGTGAGTCGGAGATAATGTTCAACCTTGCACCAAGCCAAAGATTCATTGATTAACCAATGTATCTTGGGGGCTAGATGATAGCATCTCCCACTCCGGTGCAGTGAATTGCGTCTTGACAACACCGAAAATGTCAAAAAATGACAAAGAGAAAAGAAAACATCTTCATATCCAGATATTTTAAAACTGCTGCAAAGCTACGGCCTTGTGGGAGTGAAAGAACAAGACTGATTGTTCTGATAAAAAGTGTCTCCCGTTCTAGGAAAAGTTAACTGAATAGGCACAGAACAAGCCTGGTCCTGTCAGTCGCAGGGCAATAAAGGAATAAATGGGGAAACAACACAACGGCGAGGGAGAGGACTGGAGACAGACAGACAGCTCGTACGTGGAATGGTGACTGGAGAGACTATCACTCCGAGTCATAATGCGCCAGGAATGAGCTGGTGTTCGCAGATGCCAGGCAGTGACATTTTGCAGAAGATGAATCTTGCAGCCTTCACTGTGGAGCAACTGCTGATCACCTCACAGGAGTGGGTGAATGCTGGGAAATGATGTGGATGCAGGCAAAGCCATTCAAATGAAGCCCAGTCGGTCACTTAATATTGGGGTACCGAGTTCATTCATAGGCCAACCGCACCCACCCCGATTACGCACGGACACAGGGAAGATAAATCTCTTTTTCAGCTCAGGAGAGAATCAATGCAGCACTAGGCTTGACAAAAAAAATCACAAGCCCTCGTAACCTCTGTTATAAGTTATCTCTTAAACCAATACCAATAAAAATCCAGAGACATGGGCAGCTGGGGGAGCACTGCTTGTGATTCCCCCATGGTGCATAAATCACACTTGCAGTTCCTTTCTACCCAAAGTTCAGCGGCTACGCTGCCTTTTCATCCCAAAAATAGTGTTTTCCCCATTGCTGCTTATCTCAAACACGGAAAACCACAGGAATTTCAAGCTGTAAAAAGAAAAAAAAACTGGATTGTGAGAGGCTTGGAGTCCTTTCAGTTTCACTGGGGATCCTTTTTGTTTAGCAGATGCTTAATTTTCTCATCCTTGTGACCCGCTCTCTCAGGTCACTGGATTCCAAGGGAAATGTTTCCCCTTCGCACATTGCCTTTTGAACCTTTTAAAAGACCACAGTAACTTAAAGCATTGTTGATTCTAAAACCGAACAAAATGGGGAGAATTATCACTGCTGTGCGCATGTGGACATACCTATTTTCCAATAATTAGTACTGTGAAACATAATAAACCACACAAAAGAAAACGGGAACTGTAGTTGGAAAAACTTGACAGGCCGAGTTAAGCGAAGTCTTTAAGTCACCTACTTGACACTCGTTGTTTTTAACACACCCCTCCCTTCAATATTGAGATATCAGAAAAAAATGTAGTCCCTATTTGCAAGACCTGGTTTCTGTGTTTCATATTTAAACACCCAGTTTCAAGAGGGGAGAAGTATTTATACCACCTACAACTAGTAGCTGTTGACATTTATTCCCATATTTCCTCTCTTATTCATAAAGCTCTAGGGTCAATGAGGTACAGTTGTACCTTGGTTCTCAAACACCTTGGTACTCAAACAACTTGGAACCCAAACACTGCAAACTAAGTGTTCTGGTTTGTGAACCTTTTTTGGAAGCCAAACGTACTCCATTTTGAGTGTTACACTTCCGATTTGAGTGCCACACTTCCACTTTGAGTGTTACACTGAGGTCTGTCTGGTTTTGCTATTTATTTTGCGTTTTTGTTTTTGCGGCTTTTTTGTTTTGTTTTTGTGACTGTGGAACCCAGTTCAGCTACTGATTGATTGATTGTGTGACTGCAGTACATTGCTTACTGCTTTCATTTTATGGATCGATGGTCTCGTTAGATAGTAAAATTCATGTTAAATTGCTGTTTTACGGGTTGTTTTTAAAAGTCTGGAACGGATTAATCTATTCTGCATTACTTTCTATGGGAAAGCAGGCCTTGGTTTTGGAACGGACTTCCGGAGCGGATTAAGTTTGAGAACCAAGGTACCTCTGTATCAGGAAACTCTGATGGATCACAGAGTGTCAGGGACAAGCATCACATTACACTGAACTGCTTGGCATGTACCTATGTGATCTCCCCCTAGCCCACTGCCTTTTTAACTAGAGGTGCTGCTGGGAGGCAGTGCTGTTAGGGGAAATGAAGTTCAAAAGAAAAAAAGAGGCTTATCTTTTCCCACCCTGGTTGCAGTCAGAACAAAACTCCTTGTGCAACTATGAGCCTTAGGAGAAAGGTTTCTAATGGTGCTAATGGGAACTGTTTAAAATGGCTTATAGCCACAATGGGGTGGGTTTTTTGTGGGAGGATGATAAACTCCCCTTCCCAGTAACAACACTCCCCACCTGTCATTAAAGAAGAAAGAATACAAAGACATAGCTAAACATCCAATATAATGTGCAACTTGGCCCTCAATGCTTAGTTTTCTAGAGGAAAATCTGGACAGAACTTCATTATGGGTAGTTTTCATTTTATACTATACTGTAGTCATATGGAACAAAATGTAGGTACTGTATCTCACTGCAATGGTATAGAAGAAGAAGAAGAAGAAGAAGAGGAGGAGGAGGAGGAGGAGGAGGAGGAGGAAATTGGATTTGATATCCCACTTTATCACTACCTGAAGCAGTCTCAAAGCGGCTAACATTCTCCTTTCTCTTCCTCCCCCACAACAAACACTCTGTGAGGTGAGTGAGGCTGAGAGACTTCAGAGAAGTGTGACTAGTCCAAGGTCACCCAGCAGCTGCATGTGGAGAAGTGGGGATGCGAACCCGGTTCACCAGATTACGAGTCTACTGCTCTTAACCACTACACCACAATGGCTCTCTAAGCTAAGCTAATTCCATTTTACCAAAATTGGAATGAGTGAAAACAGGTGGTGGTGGTTGTTTAGTTGTTTAGTTGTGTCCGACTCTTCGTGACCCCGTGGACCAGAGCATGCCAGGCACTCCTGTCTTCCACTGCCTCCCGCAGCTTGGTCAAACTCATGTCCGTAGCTTCGAGAACACTGTCCAACCATCTTCTCCTTGGTTGTCGTCCCCTTCTCCTTGTGCCCTCCATCTTTACCAACATCAGGTTCTTTTCCAGAGAGTCTTCTCTTCTCATGAGGTGGCCAAAGTATTGGAGCCTCAGCTTCAGAACCTGTCCTTCCAGTGAGCACTCAGGGCTGATTTCCTTAAGAATGGATAGGTTTGATCTTCTTGCAGTCTATGGGACTATCAAGAGTCTCCTCCAGCACCATAATTCAAAAGCATCAATTCTTCAGCAATCTGCCTTCTTTATGGTCCAGCTCTCACTTCCATACATTACTACTGGGAAAACCATAGCTTTAACTATACAGACCTTTGTCGGTAAAGTGATGTCTCTGCTTTTTAAGATGCTGACTAGGTTTGTCATCACTTTTCTCCCAAGAAGCAGGCGTCTTTTAATTTCATGACTGCTGCCACCATCTGCAATGATCATGGAGCCCAAGAAAGTAAAATCTCTCACTGCCTCCATTTCTTCCCCTTCTATTTGCCAGGAGGTGATGGGACCAGTGGCCATGAGCTTAGTTTTTTTGATGTTGAGCTTCAGGCCATATTTTGCGCTCTCCTCTTTCACCGTCATTAAGAGGTACTTCAATTCCTCCTCACTTTCTGCCATCAAAGTTGTGTCATCTGCATATCTGAGGTTGTTAAAAAAGGTAAAGGTACCCCTGCCCGTACGGGCCAGTCTTGACAGACTCTAGGGTTGTGCGCCCATCTCACTTAAGAGGCCGGGGGCCAGTGCTGTCCGGAGACACTTCCAGGTCACGTGGCCAGCGTGACAAAGCTGCATCTGGCGAGCCAGCGCAGCACACGGAAACGCCGTTTACCTTCCCACCAGTAAGCGGTCCCTATTTATCTACTTGCACCCGGGGGTGCTTTCGAACTGCTAGGTTGGCAGGCGCTGGGACCGAGCAACGGGAGCGCACCCCGCCGTGGGGATTCAAACCGCCGACCTTTAGATCGGCAAGCCCTAGGCGCTGAGGCTTTTACCCACAGCGCCACCCGCATCCCTTATCTGAGGTTGTTAGGTTGCATTAAAAGAACTGATTAAGTAGAACAGTTAAAACCATTCTGATTTTATCTACAATTTGCAACCATGCAGAAACTGGTTATACACTGCAAAAAAAAAAAAAGGAGGTTGAAGTTTTTCTGTTCTGTAGAGATGTGTAATTACCTCCCTCCTCCCCCCCCCCCAAAAAAATCTGAAGGCTTCCATAGATTTAAAAAGAGAGAGCAATAAAGTTAGGTGAAAATTGGTTTTCAGGATTTTGTTGCAGTTATAATTAAACTTTTGTTTTGTTTTTTAAAGCTGATTTTCACGCCACTATTTCACACACTTCAAAAATGTGTTTCTAAAGCTTTCCAATAAGAAGATGAAGTTACAAATATGCCAGGTATTAGGAAGAAATGCAGTGTTCTGGCAAAGTTTCAGGATAAGGGCAAGGGCCTGGAACACAAATAAAGAAGCAGAACCCATGTCTTCATGATTTCGCTCTTCGATGCTCTGTAGCAACAGGCCTCTCGCTGTCTGCTAGAGTGACTTTACATAAGTAATTCTGGCCAGCCAGGAAAGTGACCTCTGTTTGTTGTTCCTCGGCAGGCAGGCCTCTATTTGCTTCTCTGCTTCCAGTTCACATGGCCTCCCCTTTCAAATTCCAATTCCAGGACAAACGTCATCCGAGGAAGAAAGGCACTCCACAATCGGAGACGTGCCTAGCATTTCTCTAGCTACGGTTAAGCAGACTCTGCTTGCTTTCGACAATCACCCAATTATACCAAAATATATTTTTTTTATATGGATACAGTATGTGGTCATTTGCCCAGCAAGTATTTAAGGAAGGTCACATATTTAAGCAACAGCGAGCTATTAGGGCACATTATGGAAGGCCTCAAAATGAGTACTGTTATAAAACGTACCTCTGGCATTCTTGCAAAAAGATATTACACACCACTTTAACCCTGACTCCCTTCCCTACCTCTTTTCGTTCCCCTTCTTTTTTTGGAGGGGGTAACCCAAGCACAAATGCAACTCTGTGCAGGTACACAGGGTGCCCTAAATGTACGGTCAGCTCAAGAGTTTAAGAATACAGCATAAACCAATTCAATGCAACAGGGAATCCGGAACAAACTGTATCCTCTCAACCCAGTAGGGTGCAGAACATCAGTGCTTTCCCTTCTTCTCTTTCCATGGTTCATTTTACATATCATAAATCCCTACATATTTTACAAAAACTATACCATTCAGTATTCCATTATATCCATCAAAACTTGCTTATACTGTTGAATTTATCTTAATGCTGCCAGCGTTTTCAGCTGTACAGAATTATTTCCCACATATTGAATAAACGTTTTCCAATCTTCTCTAAATGTACAGTGGTACCTCTACTTATGTTCACCTCCGGTTATGTATCCTTTGGGATACGTATGCGGCAAACCCAGAAGTATTTTTCCGGATTTCACCGTGTGCGCATGCACAGAATCGCTCTACCACACCGCACGCATGCGCAGAATCGCTCTACCACCGCACGCGCATGTGCAGAAGCGGTCCCTCTGGTTGTAGAAACCTCAGGATCCGACCAGAGCTCTGGAATGGATCCCGTCCGCAACCAGAGGTACCACTGTATGTACTTCTTGTTCTCTTATACTATATGTTAAGTCTGCGAGTTGTACATATTCCGTCAACTTAAGTTGCCATTTTTCTTTAGTTGGGACCTCACTCGTTTTCCATTTTTGGGCTAACAAAACACGGGCTGCAGTAGTGGCATACATAAATAACCCTTTTTGTCACCTGGGAACTTCAGTCCAGAATTATCCCCAACAGAAAGGACTCTGAGGTTTTTTTTGGGGGGGGGGAGTACTTTTACACATTTTTTTTCCCAATTCATTATGGATCATTTCCCAATACTCTTTTACGCTTTTACAAGTTCACCACATGTGAAAGAACCTTCCCTCCACCTCTCTGCATCTCCAGCACTTATCTGATTCGGACTGATACATCTTCGCAAGCCTACTCTGAGTTAAATACCATCTGTGAATCATTTTCCGGTAGTTCTCCTTCAAAGAATAACATGCTGTAAACCTCAAGTCACTTTTCCAGAGTTTTCCTCCGAGGTTAAAATCTATATTGTGTCCTATATCTATTGCCCAGTGTGTCATTGTGGCTTTAACAAGCTTCTCTTTTGTTTCCCAGTCTAATAACAAATTATACATTTTAGACAAAAGTGTCTCTTTGTTTTGCAGCAGTTCTTTTTCGAATTGTGAGCTTCGGTCCGCAAAACCATTTTTTTCTATCTAATTTAAACATTTCATGTAACTGATGGTATTGTAATACAGTGGTACCTCGGGTTAAGTACTTAATTCTCTCCGGAGGTCCGTTCTTAACCTGAAACTGTTCTTAACCTGAAGCACCACTTAAGCTAATGGGGCCTCCTGCTGCTGCCGCGCCGCCAGAGCACGATTTCTGTTCTCATCCTGAAGCAAAGTTCTTAACCCGAGGTACTATTTCTGGGGTAGCGGAGTCTGTAACCTGAAGCGTATGTAACCTGAAGTGTATGTAACCCGAGGTACCACTGTACCATCAATGTTCAAGAACTTTCCATCCTCCAAATGTTGATGGATGACAACTCCCGCTGGCCATCCTGGCTGAAAACGATGTGAGTTGGGAGTCCAGCAATAGGGTCACAGGTTCCCAATCCCTAATCTTTTGGGCAAAAGACTCCTGCATTGCAGGGGGTTGGACTAGATGACCCTTATGGCCCCTTCCAACTCTACCATTCTATAATTCTATGCGCTGCCTCTTAAATCAGAAGCACCGTATCTGAATGCCCAAACACACCCCAGAAAATCCTTCTAGCTGCAGTGCAATGACAGCTTCCAGGTGCTGAAGTCCTGGAGCAATGCAAGTCAGTCTTTAAAACAGGGAAGTGGGTGGGACAGGAGAAACAGATGGTGTGGGCCCTTTCCTCGAGACTGGCAGTGCTGTTGTGGGGAGATATCATGTCTTCTGCGCTTTCTAGGTCGCCTTCCAGCCCCCGTGGCTGGGTGGAAAACACAGCCACACAAAAGCAGCAACCATGCAAAAGGCCACCATTTCCTCTCTCACAATTAGATACAGAGCATTTGTGGTTTCACCCTATGTCCAATCAGATCAGCTCTTATGTTCTTCAATCCTACTCCTACTGAAGTCCACAGAAAACTCCCAACAGAAGAATTGCAGCCTTAAGCATTCACAGTGCGGTGAGCATCTCGAGGTGCTCAATGAAAAGGGCTCTTCCCTGCAAAAAATAAAAAATGCCAGTAGGTTTCACTTCAACCAGTTACGTAATGATAAATTTCATGAGAGAACTTTTGTGTCTGTGCACTCTGGGCAAATGGAAGCAGGGTGAAGATGCACATACAGTGGTACCTCGGGTTAATAACTTAATTCGTTCTGGAGGTCCATTCTTAACTTGAGAGGTACCACTTTAGCTAATGGGGCCTCCCGCTGCTGCCGCACCGCCGCCACACGATTTCTGTTCTCATCCTGAAGCAAAGTTCTTAACCCGAGGTACTATTTCTGGGTTAGGAGTCTGTAACCTGAAGCATCTGTAGCCTGAAGCGTCTGTAACCCGAGGTACCACTGTACTGTAAAGGGAAAGTGTTTCATAATCCCACTGCTCCCTTTAAACAAAAATAAGGGGGGGGGGAGGAACATAATTTTTCTTCTCTTCCCTTTCTTTTCTGTTCATGAGGAATTGGGGGAGTAAGCTTGTTTTTATTCCACTTTGCAGCCAAGGACCCCTGAGCCCATGAACCAGAATTACAATGCAAGAATTAAAATACACACGAAGAAAACAAAACTTCCATCAGTCAAATGAAAACAAGAGAAAATGCCAGCATCTCCCAACTAACAGGAGTTAGGCAAATCTCAGGAGCAGGAAGAAGTCTCTCATCACACAAACACACAGGGAGAGAGAGGGGGGAGAGAGAGCCCTTTCCCATCCATGCAGCCAAGGACTTAAAACTTTTGATGTCCAAATTTCAATAAAGTTGTAGACAAACTAGGGTAGCCAGCATGATGTCCCCTCTAGATGCTGTTAGGACTACAGTTCCAGTAAGCATGGACAGCAATCAGGGATAACAGGAGTTGTAGATGCCACAAAATTTGGAGGGTACCATGTTGGTTATCCCTGATTTAGAGGATGAAGAAAGCTATTGAACAGTAACTGAATAAAACAACCTAGCAAACAAGGAGGGGCAGGGAACCTGCTGCTATGGTAAAAGTTGTGGAAGAGGAAAAGAACGTTTAAGAATTCTAAGAGGCCATTTAGATATCTTGCATCTAATCACTCAGGAACCTAAGGAAGAAACAGGCACCAGAAAGACGGCAGCTAGATGAACAGTAAGCTTTATAAAATAATCACCGTTGCAACAATTCTGCTCCTGCTACGATCAAGGGTAGTGGCTTTGACAGTTCATGAAGAGTTGCCGCAGATCAGTGGTACAGCACATGGTTCTCATGCAAGAGACTCCGGGTTCAATTTCCAGTACCTCCAAGAAGGACGGGGAAGGACCTCTGTTTGAAACCCTGGGGAGGCAGCACCCCAGTTACAGAAATCCCTTGCACTGAGATATTGTTTGTTCCCATCATTGTTAACTTTTTGACATCAGGTCTAACATACTTAAGGCGACAGAGCAGTCTGCAAGTCAGGTTGATGGAAGTGCTGGAATTGTGTTCTGCTGAAATTCTGTTGTGCTAGTAACAGTTGTACGGTTTCCTAAATTTTGCATTTTATTAGACTGGGGAACCTGTAGGTTGAAGGGCAGTTTGAAAATACAAATAACAATACTGAGCTAGATGGACCAAAAAGCATGACAGCATAAGACAGCTTCCAAGTTTGCTATCCTATCTCTTAGAAGATAACCAGATTGTTCTTCTGCTGAGCTTCAGAATGTCTACTGTGGTCAAGAACTGGAGAAGCTGCAATGCCTCCTCTAATAAGTCTGTGGGCTGCTCTTTCCCTAAAGGATGGAACAAATCAAAGGGAGTCAGTTCCTACAGCCAGCACAGGTGCATCACTCAGGATGGTTTGGGACAGATGTAGGAAGCTCCTCTCTCTCCTTCCACCTGAACAGCCCAACCAGGCCACCGTGGCTACAGCCTGTGAGGAGGAGCATGACTGCTCCCCTTAGAGGCTGCAGCAGAAGCAAGCGAGGATCCAACTTACACCACCGAGATCAGCAACTGATCTCTTGGGTGTTGAATAAAATGCAGATCTGGAAAATAGAGCAAAGGCCCAAAGAGTGGGAAAACAGGGCAGGGGAGACAACACAGACACACACATCCCCTACACTTTTCCTGAACACATCGGCAACTCCCGGCTGTTGGGTCTTAATAAAATACTTTGCCCCCTCGAGCAACTCAATTTGGTCAGATTGTAAAAGAGAAAAACTCTCGCCCATCCCCAGCCAGCTGCACCAAGTTGCTTCAGCTCCATGTGGCCCGTCTGAAGTTCAGAATGCTCAAATTCCATAGAGGCAGCCTGGAGATAGAAACAGCTTGAGCTGTGGGGGAGAAAATCACATGCACACACTTTGTGAACTGTCAAAGGAGCAGGTGGTGTGGAAGTGGTATAGCAGGGTGCTTCTGCACTGGACTCACGGGTCACACTGGCCCTTCCAGTGTGAATGCTTCCAGTGTTAGAAACTCAGATATATAAGGTAGGCACTAAATAGCTCCAATACACCAAGGTTGCAGTTGTCATTTTGGGGCAAGACCACTCTAAAGTCTTGTTTTTCAAACAGTGGACTGACTGATTGATTCTCAGTTAAACATCTGACTAGCTCAGATGACAGCCTTGAGCTACTATGTAAAGAACCTTGAGCATTTAAAGAAGGTCACTTGATCCAGTCCATGTATCTATTGGCCTATGCCAACCTCTTTTCCTTAATGGTGACTGCTCCTGCTCAAGGCAGCACAGAAAAGCAATTGGGTTCCGGAAATTCATCCCAATTGTGCAGATAAAATGTAACTGATAGAATTCTACAGGAGGAGGTATTTGTGTGTGTAAACAGTACAGATCCAGTGATCCGCAGATGGTGGAGATGCCTTGCGCCATCCTGGAGCCCAGACATCTTCACTTGGTCACAAGTGGTCAAAAGTCAGGAGCAAAATGTGTCTGGCTGGCACCTGGCTAATGCTGAACACTGAATGCTATCCATACCAGTAATTCAGCGACTAACATCTACATATGTTTCCCTGCACCTCTACTCTTGGCTCACAATGTCTGACCCACCATTAAGCACCAGACAGAAATCGCAGTTCTTTCTGAAAATTTTAATATGGGAAATGCCATGGTCACGGACGATGTCCCTAGGAAAGCGACCACAGTTAGCAGAGCCATTTGGTGAAATCATAATCGTAGGATTGATTAATAACAATCCAATTTTAATTCAGCACCACTACCCCTCTAACCTCCAAGGGAATGGCTCAATTTCACATTGCACAGGCCCGGGAAATAAAGAGCTTTGCATTTATTTTTTATATATCTAAATGCTGCCGTTTTCTAGACAGGCAGACAAGGAATATATATGAGCATCAGACAAAACGGGCCAAATGAATCAATTAGCAGAAGCTCCAAATCAACTGGATTGTTCTTAGCAGCTGGAAATCCCAGCTTCCTTTTCCTTAAGAAATCATTAGCATGTGCTCAATTTTGGGAGAGCGTCTTTTGCAGGCTTTCTCGATTCCCTGCAAGAACTGCTTGCTATCATCTTTCTAAGTACCCTGCTTATGCTTCGTAAGCACCCTGCTTGTGTTCCATCTTGTTGTTTTGTCAGCTCCAGCAGCCCCTGCAGCCTGCCCCCTACACGTCATATCCATGCATTTGCTTCCCAAGGGCACTCTCCAGAATACAGTGGTACCTCGGGTTACATACACTTCAGGTTACAGACTCCACTAACCCAGAAATAGTACCTCGGGTTAAGAACTTTGCTTCAAGATGAGAACAGAAATTGTGCTCCAGTGGTGCGGCGGCAGCGGGAGGCCCCATTAGCTAAAGTGGTGCTTCAGGTTAAGAACAGTTTCAGGTTAAGAACGGACCTCCGGAACAAATTAAGTACTTAACCCAAGGTACCACTGTATGTTGACCAGCCCCACCCCTAGGTACCACTCAGCCACAGCCTCCCAGCCAAAGTATGACTACTGGTGTCTGTCTGGGTGAGCTACACAGAATCTGGAATTGTAGAACAGATTGACCCCACTTGTGCATTGGCAGAGGGCATGGCTTGCGTGCGCACACACACACACACACACACAGACAGACAGGATCTAGGGCAGGGGTAGGCAACCTAAGGCCCGTGGGCCTGATGCGGTCCAATCGCCTTCTAAATCCAGCCCGCGGACAGTCCAGGAATCAGCGTGTTTTTACATGAGTACAATGTGTCCTTTTATTTAAAATGCATCTCTGGGTTATTTGTGGGGCCTGCCTTGTGTTTTTACATGAGTAGAATGTGTGCTTTTGTTTAAAATGCATCTCTGGGTTATTTGTGGAGTCTAGGAATTTGTTCTTTTTTCAAAATACAGTCTGGCCCCCCACATGGTCTGAGGGACGGCGGACTGGCCCACGACTGAAAAAGGTTGCTGACCCCGGATCTAGAGGCAGGCTAGCTCACTCATTCAGCCACTTCACAGGTTCATTACCAAATGCCTATTGCCTGTGACTCTTTGCACTGCATAATACAAACAAAGGGAAGAGTGGTAATAATCCAATTACCACGTGGTTTCTGGGGGTTGGATTGGAGGAACACCTTAAAAACTGCTCTTCTGAAACCTGTAAACCTTCCCCCATAACCCTGGAGAAGTACGCAACAGTAGTTTACCTATGCTTAGCAAAAGGCAACGGAACTATGGAATAGCCAAAGTGAGAAGGAAAATTCTTTCTCTGCCCTGTTCTTTCCTGAGGGTAGGTTTCACAGAACTCAATGGGGTTCAATTCCATGTAGATATAGACATAGACACAAATAACTGCACAACCAGCTGGTCACAAAAAAAAAGAAAGATTTCCTAAAATGCATCTGAAGTATAATTGCACCCTCTGCAGCCACTGTCTCATTACAGGCACTGCATGCAGCTTATTAAAAAAATTAAAAAATAAAGCTCCAGAATCACATGTGCAGCAAAGGACCACTGTGGAAAACTGCTACAGTTCCCATGGCATCTCTGTGTATGTCGCCAATACAACCTGATATAACATCACAGGATTTTTCTTTTCCAAGACCTGTGTGGTTAGACGAAAAACAAAGGCAATATTGAAAGCTTGTAAACAGCCACCAGTCCTGTTCCCTGCAGAATTTCCTCCAGACAACCAGGCAAGGGGGCTATGAAAGAGACAGGAGATTCTTTTCATTTTGGGCAAGTGTACTAATCTAATATTTTTGTGCACTAGCTTCATTTGCAACATATTTAAGTATGTCCCACAAGCTGCTCATGCTGTTATATGTATACAAGCCCCACTAAGGCGCACAGCAAGGCTTTTAAAATGTTTTGTTTCTTGCCAGTGGTGCGCCTCCAAGATGAGTTGGCACCTGCCAAGAAACACAGAGGGCATCACACATACGAGAACGACGTTCGTGGCTCTCTGCATCACACGCACGCAGAGAATAGATGGCAAACTTTCAGGAAATTCCCACCCATCCCAACCCCCCATTGCAAAACATCCAAAATTTGGTGTGAGAATCATTTGGCAGAATGAACTCAAAGTAACAATATCTATTTAGGCAGCCGAGCCGCTCTGCATTCCAAAGGCGGTGAACAGCTTAGGAGATATTTTTCTGCTCTCCAATCTTTAACTTAGCTTTCTGGTTTTAAATTCTGGACACCCCAGCACCACATGGCTTCAAATATTATTATTTAAATATGAAAGAGGTTCAGTTCTGCCCTTAAAACAAAATATATACAGTGGTACCTCGGGTTACATACGCTTCAGGTTACATATGCTTCAGGTTACAGACTCCGCTAACCCAGAAATAGTACCTCGGGTTAAGAACTTTACTTCAGGATGAGAACAGAAATCGTGCTCCGGCGGCGCGGCAGCAGCAGGTCTCATTAGCTAAAGTGTATATTTAACTACACATTAGCATGTAAGAACATAGAAGCCACTTGTCTAGGGATCAGAAGCTGGCATCCTTTGGGCCAAAGCCAGCCCCATAAGTCATGCCATATGTTCAGTCCCCTCGCTCTAAATAGGGGACCATGGGATCGGTTATCGTCTTTTGCTTTAGGACATACAGCAGCAGATGAATGGAGGAACAAGGGTGGTCAAAAGTGACCCTCTGGAAAAACTAGGTTTGGTAGTAGTAGGCTATAATGAAACCCCCCACCCCACCCCCCCAAAAAGCCAACCACATATCAGATACATTCAGTGATTCCGTCGAACATGTTCAGCATCCCTATCGTGCCATAAGGAAGATTTTAGCAGCAAAGATAATAATCATCTACAGAGTAAACTCACGAAGTTTAAACCTCTGCTAAACGTATTAACTCAGATTACAACACATGCAAGTCAGAAGCTGCAAATTCAATAAGCAAAGGGATTTTCTGTAAATCATCGTTAGCAATGATATTAAGGTTATTTGCAGTTTTCTAGGTCTTATAGCGTATGATCGTCAAAAACCATTTTTACACCCGTTTTTCATATATCAACAAGGGCATAAGACCAGCAACACACAAAAACCAAAGTGGAATAAACATGATCTGTGCCCACGTTACGTAAGTGGACTTAAGCAATTTTTCACTTTTTCATGCCTTCCTATTCCCCACTATTCCCCACCTCTCCTACAAAAGTTTATAGCATCTAACAAAAATGGAATATACAATACAAAAAGATATTGTCTACAATAAATCTAGTGCTTTTGTGCATTTCATAGATCTCGCTGGCCCAACTTGCACAGTATGATAAGCCATAGTTTATTTCCAAATATTTTGCACCTGGCTAGCTACCACGTCCCACCAAGTGAAAATGTCTGGGAGCCAGGATGGTGCCTGATGTCTCCACCGTCTGGAGGTGAATGAATGGGAAGACTTGGATCTTGTCTGTTTTCACACACACTAACAACACATCCTGCAGAATTCTATCCATTATATGGTATCTACACAATCGGAATGAATTTCAGGAACCAAAAAGTCAAATCGAAAAATACAACTTTTGAGCTGTCTGGCCCCAAAAATGTTTGGCAACTACAACCTTGGCTTATGGAGCCATTTGGCACCCAGCTAATACATCTGAGTTTCTAACACTGAGTTGAGGCCCAATAGCAGCAAGCAGCTGTGAGCATCACTCTAGGGCACTGTGGAAAATTCAAACAGCCCTCAGCCACCCTGGTAAGCTCACCGCAAGAGGGGCGTCACAGCATGGGGCAGGTTCCGCGGATGCAACTGGGATCCAGAAGTCACTGTACCAAGTTCACACTCTCAAACCTCATGCCTGACTTGAGTCAGAAAGATAGAACTTTGCCTAAAGAGCTACCACAGATCGTGTGTGAAGCGAGGCTCCAGATTCCTCTTCAGGGACATAAGAGACTTGCACAAAATCAGTCCCTTGCAACTGGCAAGCATTGGGTTACCAGTACAGTGGTACCTCGGGTTAAGTACTTAATTCGTTCTGCAGGTCTGTTCTTAACCTGAAACTGTTCTTAACCTGAAGCACCACTTTAGCTAATGGGGCCTCCTGCTGCTGCCATGCCGTCGGAGCACGATTTCTGTTCTCATGCTGAAGCGAAGTTCTTAACCTGAAGCACTATTTCTGGGTTAGCGGAGTCTGTAACCTGAAGCGTATGTAACCTGAAGCGTATGTAACCTGAGGTACCACTGTATTTAATTTTAATTTATTTTTTAATTTAATTTTCAAACTGCCCTTCACAAACATCATCACCATGGCAGTCTACAAGAAAATATCCCGAGAGGCACAGCTGCAACGAAAATCTGGCATGTGTGCAATGGATACCGTTTTTCTACCACTTTTCAAAGACAGCAGATGCTGTTCACATCTTGCACAGAATTCCACTACACATCCCCATTTCTCAAGTCGTTACATCCAAATGGGATTGAGCCATGCAAAATCTTGATGCATATTAGAAGCCGCAAATCAGAAAACCAATGAAGAAGCCTTCTTCTCCCGTTTGCTTTTTTTGTTTTTCTAACCTATTCCGTGTGCGGAGGGGAGGATATATACACCAAACACATTATCAACTGTTTAAAAGAAAAAAGGAAGAGGATGCATTTAATTATTCCACAAGTCACAGACGTTCAAGTACGGAATATTTTAAGCTTGTTTTTAATGTTCTTGTTGGTTTTGCATCCTTCCGCCCCAACCTGAAACTGATGCAGAGTGGAACTATCAACATAATCCAATATTTGCGTCCATCACACTGGGTGGAATTTAGCATCAAGCTGAGACAATCATACTGTCTGGGCAACTACATCAGCTTGCCAGATGTAACAATCGCTCCTCTCCTCCAGTGTTCTGGGCAGTGGAGGGGGGGTCTCCTCACAGCCACTTACAGTGGTACCTCAGGTTAAGAACTTAATTCGTTCTGGAGGTCTGTTCTTAATCTGAAACTGTTCTTAACCTGAAGCACCACTTTAGCTAATGGGGCCTCCTGCTGCTGCCACGCCACCACTGCACGATTTCTGTTCTCATCAAAGTTCTTAACCCAAGGTAATATTTCTGGGTTAGCGGAGTCTGTAACCTGAAGCATATGTAACCCGAGGTACCACTGTATTTTGAAGTGGAGGGGCACACAGGGGGAGGAGGCCCATTGCAGAAGCAGCCCTTACAAAGGGCTTCCACAGAAGTGGCTTCTTATGTATATTTATAAGCAGTGAAATAAAGAACACTTTTGAATGAGCAAAGAAACTTCACCTTAGCAGATGCTGCTCTTGATATGCCACGGCTAGGTTTCATAGGGGATACCCTGCGTGCAACAGAACCTGCCGAAACCCATTGCCACCCTTCCTCCCTATCACAAAAGGCCTCTCCTGAAGGTCAGGGGAACTCAATGCACCTCGAAGACTCGCAAAAGGTCTGCAGCTCCTATTCTCTCTCCCAGCATCCCACCCCCCCATGAGCTGAAGCACTTTCCATTCCAGCACAGGGCACTTTGGAGCTCAACCTTTGCTGTGCTCTTTTACCTGGGGATAATTTTCAGTGACTAATTCCAGCTAAGTGCCGATTTCAAGCACCCAGAACTAATTATCCTTCCACTAAACAATGGAGAGCATTACTTCAGTATTTAACCTCTTGCAACCAGTTCTGTAAATAGTCATTCACGTTGCCTTAACGCTAGCTACGCGATCAAGATTGCACACGAAAGCAAAGCAAAACTTAACCGAACGCAATCACAGCCAACTCTTCTGAACGGAACTAGCAAAGAGCTAAAGTCAAGAGAACCTCGCGACCCCTTCAGAAGTGCTGTCTGTGGCATTATTAGACTTGGTAGCTCAAAGTGGCTGCCATACACCTGTTGAACTCCTTTGTGAAGCGTTCCAGGTTCAATAAGGGTTTAATGGAATATTGAGGCCCCCTCCAGACTGCTGTTTAATAATAATAATAATAATAATAATAATAAATTTTATTTATATCCCGCCCTCCCCAGCCAAAGCCAGGCTCAGGGCGGCTAACAACAAACAAATAATCAAACAATCAAATAATCCAACATTCTAAAACATTTCATTATAAAATTTAATTAAAATCAAATTAATGGCAACCGTTAAGCAAAGTTCTGTGCAGGTTGCCAGAGGAGGGAGTCAGGCTGGGCCCTAACCAAAGGCCTGGTGGAACAACTCTGTCTTGCAGGCCTTGCGGAAAGATGTCAGGTCCCGCAGGGCCCTAGTCTCTTGTGACAGAGCGTTCCACTAGATCGGAGCCGCAGCCGAGAAAGCCCTGGCTCTAGTTGAGGCCAGCCTAACCTCTCTGAGGCCTGGGACCTTCAGGATGTTTTTATTTGCAGACCGTAGGTTCCTCTGTGGGGCATACCAGGAGAGGCGGTCCCGTAGGTACGAGGGTCCTAGGCCGTATAGGGCTTTAAAGGTTAAAACCAGCACCTTAAACCTGATCCTGTACTCCACCGGGAGCCAGTGCAGTTGGTATAGTACCGGATGAATGTGATCTCGCAGCGAAGACCCCATAAGGAGTCTCGCCGCGGCATTCTGCACCCGCTGGAGTTTCTGGGTCAGTCTCAAGGGCAGCCCCACGTAGAGCGAGTTACAATAATCCAGTCTGGAGGTGACCGTCGCGTGGATCACAGTGGCTAGGTCAGGGCGAGAGAGATAAGGGGCCAACTGCTTAGCTTGGCGGAGATGAAAAAATGCCGCCTTTGTTATAGCTGTAATCTGCGCCTCCATAGAGAGGGAGGTATCGAAGATTACACCCAAACTCTTAACGGACGGTGCTGGCACTAATTGCACCCCGCAAGAGATGGGAGTTGCCCCCCCAATCCCATATCGTCCCGTCCCAGCCAGAGGACCTCTGTCTTCGAAGGATTCAACTTCAACCGGCTTCCACGTAACCATCCAGCCACAGCTTCCAAACATCTGGTCAGTGTGTCTGGGGCCGAGTCAGGATGGCCATCCATCAACAGATAGAGTTGGGTGTCATCGGCATACTGATGGCAACCCAGCCCAAAACTCCGGACAAGCTGGGCGAGGGCGCATAAAGATGTTAAAAGCATCGGGAGAGTATCGCACCCTGAGGCACTCCACACACCAAGGAGTGGCGGGATGACAATTCCCCCCCAAGCGCCACCCTCTGTCCCCGACTGGAGAGAAACGAGCGCAGCCATTGAAGGACTGTGCCCTGGATCCCCACGTCGGCAAGGCGGTGGTCCAGGAGTTCGTGATCAACCATGTCAAAGGCTGCTGACAGGTCTAGAAGAATCAGCAGCCCCGACCCGCCTCGATCCAGCTGCCTGCGGAGATCATCTGTTAGGGCGACCAGAGCCGTCTCGGTCCCATGACCAGCACGGAAGCCAGACTGGAATGGATCCAGAGCCGATGTTTCATCCAGAAACCTACCAAGCTGTTCAGCAACCACTCTCTCAATCACCTTACCCAGGAATGGAAGATTCGAAACCGGGCGGTAATTGGATAGATCTAAGGGATCTAATGATGTTTTCTTTAAGAGCGGGCGCACCACTGCCTCCTTCAGTTCCCCTGGAAATATCCCGGTGCCAAGGGACAAATTGATGATATCCCCGGGGGGCCCGCACCTCGTCTGGACACGCTCTAATCAGCCAAGACGGGCACGGGTCAAGAGGACAGGTGGTGGGCTTTCCAGCTCGGAGGAGTCTGTCCACATCGGCTGGGGATATCCGATCAAAGTGGTCCAATACTGGACCCGAGGACAGTCGAGGGGCCTCCAGTTCCTTTATTGTATCCAAATTGGCAGGGAGGTCATGGCGGAGCAACAGGACCTTCTCCGCAAAAAAGCTCGCAAATGCCTCACAGCTGTGTGTCAGATAGCAGCTGTATGCAGCGACATGGCACTGATGCATTAGTAGGGCATGGGCGCATAGCGTGGGAAGTGCCAGGGAGGGAGCACAAACTAGGCATCCCCATGCAGGTGAGCCCAGCGTGGCATGGCCTGATGTTCCTCTCTGCCCACCGGCCAGGCTCCCCCCTGTGCAGGCCGACAGGCAATTCAGCACAGCCCCACTTTGCTCTGGTGGGGGTGGAGTCGCTCCAATGGCGTCAGCAACTAGGCTGCCCTCCCACCGCCACTAACAGTGTGAGCACAGCCCTCCCGCCCAGCATGCCCTGGGCACCAGCAAACAACGCTATGCCACTGGTAGGGCATCTGAAATGGATTTCTATCAGATCAGCCCACATTCTCAGCTGTTCTCTTATACTTTCTAACGTTTCTGCGTCACTGCATCCACACTTGAACTCTACCTATTCTGTTTTCTGTGTTTCCACCCCTCCCCCCCCAAAAAAATTGCTCACCCTCTACACTAAGTGTAAGATAGTTGCACTATGATGCCATGCTTCTATTTGTACACTTTCAAGGGTTTGGGTTCAGGCTGCGGTTGCAGGGCTAAACCAAAGCTCGTTTCCACACACAATGGAATGCCAGCGCCTGGCATCAATAGGAACTATGCAGGAGTGGTTACATCAAATGAGTGGGTACATTTCAGCACATTATCTGAATGCAGTCCTGTTTTTAATGTTTGACGTTTTATTGTGTTTTTATATTTTGCTGGAACCCAGCCAGATGGGCAGAGTATAAATAATATTATTGTTATTATTACAGTCGTACCTTGGTTCTCAAACGGAATCTGCTCCGAAGTCCGTTCAACTTCCAAAAACATTCAAAATCCAAGCCACAGTTTCAGATTGGCTGCAGGAGCTTCCTGCACTCAATCGGAAGCCACGTCGGACATTCGGCTTCCAAAAAAAAGTTTGCAAACCAGAACACTTGCTTCCAGGTTTGCGACATTCAGGAGCCAAAATATTTGAGTCACAAGGCATTCGAGAACCAAGATACGACTGTAAAGGATTTGTAGTATAAAAATTTGCATATATTTAGCAGGAAACTTCAGGGCCCTGACCGATGACAGCCAAAGCAGTATAATCACCCTGAAATATTTGCATGTGCAAATGGCATTGAAAGCGCCATCATGCATAAACAATTTGAGTGCATCACGAGCACAGGTGAGGATGAATGTGCAATAAGAAGGATGTCTGGAGGAGCCTTGAGATAATTGTGAACGGTTCAATATCAGAAACCAAAAAGACTGTGAGCTAAAACGGGATTTAGTCCTGACAATGTTAACAAAGTCCTGCTGAATTCAACAGCGCTCAAAAGTAAAGTAAGGTTAGGACTGCAACCTTATGGCTTTCGCCTAGATCTGTATTTCCATCGTCCCGGGGTATGCAAAAGGTTTTCAAAGGGGGCATATTTCATTTATTGACTGAAAACAACTGACAGGTGGGGACAGCCAGACTGGCTAATTTCACAGAAATCACTTAGAATGGTACCCTTATATATTTCTTTCTCGGAGAGCTAGCGGCTTACTTTAAATAATTTCTTTAAAAGCTCAATTTGGGGTCTTTGCCATGAAGGCATTTTCAGGCACTGCGGTGCCCACAGTCATCGGGTTGGTGACCCCTGAATTACAACACCTAAGAACAATTCCAGCACAGACTGAGAAAGATATCGGCTTAAAGGTCTTGTTGGAAGAGGAAGGTTTTCAGCAGACTCCGAACAGTAAGATACAGTGCCTGTCTGATATAATATAGAATCATAGAATTGTAGAGTTGGAAGGGACCCTCAGGATCATCTTAGTCCAACCCCCTGCAATGCAGGAAAATGCAGCTGTCCCATAGGATGGGGATCGGACCTGCAACCTTGGCATTACTCTAACCAACTGAGCTATCCATGCACTAAAGGGAGGGGATTCCAACATTGTTGAGAGCTAAGTACCACTTAAATCCGTCTTACCACGAGGTGAGGGTACCTGGAAATGCTTCCGTATGCCAACAGTCCTAGATTAGCTTGCCATTTCAGAAGAACTGGCTTGCCCCATGGATACGTCCCCCTTATGTAGTCTGCCTTGGCGCTTCTGCTAGCAGCATGAGCTGGCACCCAGACAAAGGTTTCACATGATCAACTTTCCCCATTTGGGTTAGGACCAGCAGCTTGCGCTTATAAAAAAGAAAATCCCACAGACCAGAAATAAATGCCACAATTTAGGTAATAAAAAAAAAAAAGATACAGAATCACAGAATCAGAAGGTTACCTAAGGGTGATCTGCAATGCAGGAATCTCAGCTAAAGCATCCATGACAGGTGGCCATCCAACCTCTGCTTAAAAACCTCCAAGGAAGGAGAGTCCACCATCTCTCGTGGTGATCTCTTTCACAGTCAAACAGTTCTCCCTGTCAGAAAGTTCTTCCTGATGTTTAGTCGGAATCCCCTTTCTTGTAACTTGCAAGCCATTGGTTCAGTCTTAGGAGAAAACAAGCTTGCTCCATCCTCCATGTGACAGCCCCTTGGACACTGTATCTGAATAATCATTTGCATGGCAGGGAGCTAGCTTCTCCTTTTATTAATCTAGGGACATGGGTGGCACTGTAGTCTAAACCACTGAGCCTCTTGGGCTTGCCGATCAGAAGGTTGGTGGTTCAAATCCCTGCGACGAGGTGAGCTCCCGTTGCTCGGTCCCAGCTCCTGCCAACCTAGCAATTCGAAAGCATGCCAGTGCAAGTAGATAAATGGGTACTGCTGCAGCAGGAAGGTAAACGGCGTTTCCATGCGCTCTGGCTTCCATCATGGTGTCCCATTGCGCCATAAGTGGTTTAGTCATGATGGACACATGACCCGGGAATCTGTCTGTGGACAAACGCCAGCTCCGTCAGCCTGAAAGCGAGATGAGCACCGCGACCCCATAGTCGCCTTTGACTGGACTTAACCATCCAGGGGTCCTTTACCTTTACCATTACCTTCATCAATCTCGTGTTTAAAAAAGCATACCCAAAAGAAGATTCCTTTGTGCCATTACAGTTGTCAAGGTGTATTATTTTAAAAATATTGCATCTCTTATAGCATCTCAAAAACAATCCACAGAATCCCATAGTTCTCATGCTCGGCTGAAAGAAATATCAAGTAAATGCAATTGTATTTCCTTTATATTGAAGCCTTGTAACCCTTGTGTTTTACTTCCTTCACTCCCTGTTGTCCAACCCACCAGTTAACACTGCAGGGTAACCTGAGCAAAAGACAAGTCGCTTGTCCCCAATGAGCTTACAATCTGAAGTTCTGTGTACACAGTTACCCCCACAAACCTCAAAGTTAGGCCTTTTTCGTTCTGCCGGTTTAACACACTACCCCTTACAGTTCTTCTGCTGCATACAGACACCTTTATTCTTTTGAAATAAAGGTCTCTAGATGTTTTCGGAGCCCGCATTTGCTTCATTTGTGTTCTTTATAGTACCTAAAAAAACACACACACAACCTCATCTACCTGAAAATTGCATTCTACACATCTAAATATATGTATGGAATTGCTTCACGTGGACAGAATGAGAGTTGGAAAGGAAACTGGAATTCTAGGCTGGTAAATGATGGCCTTACCAGACAAGATGATGGATCCTGGCCGCAAACAAAACTGAATGAAAGCAAGATCTAACCTGAATGAATTGGTGCACTTTTCCCTTCAATTTAGACAAATCCAGTCCCTCAAAAAAAGGAGTACTTTTTCACTGTCTCTCTCCTCCAGCTTTAATCAGTTTTTCCAAGGCAAGAGAAGGGAGATTCAGGTTTTTACATCCTCCCCTTTTCCTCCTCCGTGTATCAAATGATGGATTCCCCTCTTGGCTGCTAACTAGATCAACATGTTGGATCCGAAAAGAAAGGAAGAGTGCCACATTCTCTGCTAGCCATCCTTTTAGACTGGCAAAAAAAACCTGTTGGGCTCTTTTCTGCGGAGAGCTTCCAATCAGCCTCCATTTGGCCCGAAGAGAGGACTGCAGTAAATAGGGAATAAATTATGCAATTCAGCCGCCACAAAGTGCAACTAGGGAAAGGGGGGGTTGACATCAAACACTGCGATTAGCACCCATTGCCTCTCTAGCCCCCTTTCCCGACCACTCTGCAGAGGGAAAAATGAAGTCGTCGATAAAGGAACTCATACAAGTGGCTTCCCAAAATGCATTCTGCACCACTGTGCACAGAATCCAAACCCACAAGTCTTGCAACCTCTGTAAGACAGATATTTGTAATGCAAAATGTAATAAAACCCAGAAAACTGAATCCGTATATCCATGCATAGACAACTAGATTCCTCCCCTAACTGCAAGACCCACGCAGGATGGCTACAGTAGTTCCCACTTTCAACATTACTCTTCTAAAGTTTGAAGGGGACGCTTGTCTACATTTTTATTCCATGTCCATTATCCTTCCACGTTTGCCCATCTTTTAAACCGTGTTGCCAGCCTTAGGACACAAAACCTTCTCCAGTACTTTTGAGAAAAAGATCTGCTCTCCCTCCATTTACACACATCCCAAACCAAGAAATCCGTGTTCCAGTATAAGAAAACGTAGGAGACTTCCTTGCGTAACTTTCTCAAATCCATTCCTAAAACTACACGCACAGCTTGCGACGACGGGGGGGGGGGGGGTTAGGTCTGTGGAAAATGAGCTCAGCATTGGCATCAGAACAATACTTTCCCATAGAAACAGAGGCATATATTTAATTCTTAGTAACTCCACTCAAGTTTCACCTTCCATTTCCTCCAGATAATTTTATTTTTTTTAATACAAGGTTTGGCTTAAATTTGCAAGGTAAATTGTCTTGCAGATTTGCATTTCGCCTTTTTTGGAAAAAGAAAAAAAGAAAATATACAGCAGCTAAATGCATAAGCCCTTCAAAAGCCTTTATCTGCCCTGACTGTGCAAAAGGCAAAAAAAGAGCTCTGTAATCCCAGCAGAAGAATGCAAATAACGTCAATGCACAGCTGAACTGCAAGCCCTGCCTTACAGGAACTATGTGTGCCTGTGTGTATGTGCGTGAGTGTGTGTGCGCGCGCCAGTGTGTGTCTGCAAGGAGGAAAAAAAAAAGGTACATTCTAAACAGGAAATGCAACTGAGAGCTATTCAAAGCCTCAAACTTCAAAATGCAATTGCATCCCCAAAATTGCATGCATGCAATTCCATAATGCATGGACGACTTTTTGCATATCTGCAAGGAACGCAAGTCGGAGCCTTACCTCTCGGCTGAGACATTTTCCCCTCTGCTTTGATGGGGGAGGGGAACACAAAAGACTTTGCCTTCTCTCTTCAGTAGCTAGTTTTGCAACAAAGATGAAAACTGCAAGCGCTCAGTCTTCATGCAACTGGAGTTTTTCTGACTCCCTGCAGCAGATCTCCTTGCAGAGGAAGGAACTGCAATTGCACACCTTGCAAAACAGATTGCAAAGTGGGTTTTCACCCCCTATTGCAATGGTAAGGAAGGCTCTGCTGCACCTACATGATGGGCCAGGACTGGCAGCTAAAAGCTCCAAACTTGGATCCGAGTGCCTTAGTGCGCAGACGTCCTTTCTACGAGCAGCGCGTTGGTTTGTGGGTAATGTAGTTCATCCGGACAGCCCATTGAGAGCTTCTTTAAGGAGACTCCGTTGTCTTCATGCTCGAGGAGGGAGGTGGGTGGGATTAAGATGCACGGAGCCATCTACTTGGAGGCGACTGCTGTGCAGCGGGGGCGCACAGATCCCACTGGAAAATGTAAGCAGGAAATGGAAACGGCCGCGCACAGTCTTCTGCTATGTAATCGGAAAGCTGCAGAGAAGCATTGCCTAGCAGAGCGAGCATGCAACCACGTTGCGAGACTTCGTGTCTATCCAATGGCAGTTTCATAACATAGGAATTGCCGTACTGCAGTCTAGCAGTCTGCCTCCAACAGTGGCGACCCCTCGCCTCGCATGGTAGTACATATACCAGGGAATGCTAAGCCTCTCGGAAGAATATTGTCACTATACAGAAATATCAGCATGACTAGCCATTGAGCATCTTCTGAATTAATTTGCCTTAAGCTTTTAGTCTAAACACATACATGCAAGCAAGACACACTGCCCAAGATAAACAGTCGCGTTTCCCTCAATAAAGACTTTCTTGCCATCTAAATGGAGGCACTCCGTATTGTTTGGTGACAATATTTTGAAAATGCAGGTTGTTTTGCGTTCTCTTCAATTACAGGTTACAGTGGTACCTCGGGTTACATACGCTTCAGGTTACAGACTCCGCTAACCCAGAAATAGTACCTCAGGTTAAGAACTTTGCTTCAGGATGAGAACAGAAATCCTGTTCCAGTGGCGCTGCGGCAGCAGGAGGCCCCGATAGCTAAAGTGGTGCTTCAGGTTAAGAACAGTTTCAGGTTAAGAACGGACCTCCGGAACGAATTAAGTACTTAACCCGAGGTACCACTGTACTTTTAAAAGACTGGCGGACGAACCAGGATTTCTCCGGATCAACAAATCTCCGGTCTTTTAATTTCTACTTCGCTGCTATTAAAAATATTGCGATTATGATTTTAAGTATTGCCCCGTGCCATGCATTTCAAACACATTGTAGGGATTGGACTAAATGACCCTTGGGGTCCCTTCCAAGTCTGCCGTTCTATGGATCACAAGAACTGATCGCAAAGCTACAGCTCCCAACATCCTCAACAAACTACAGTTCCCGGGTTCTTTGGAGGAAGTCATTTGCTCGAAATCTATGGTGTGCATGTGAGCTCAGTCACATGTATAGTTCTCATCCCAGGACCTGACTAAAGCTCAGGGATAAGAGTCCAGGGGGTAGGAGCTAGTGCACTCAGTGCCACACCCTCGTGATACAGAGGTGGGGGCCTGCAGGGAGGGCGCTGAGCACAGCTGTCACGAATTGCTGCCCACAGGTAGAATTCGTGCACCCAGGGACAGAGCCAAACAATAAACTGAAAAGCCCAGTGCTAAAAGAGCAGAGCCTGTGTAGAACGATTAGTTGTGCTTGCCAGTCTCCTGAAACTGAGCGATGCAACCATACTCATAATACCAGAGACCAGCACACAATTCAGACTCCCTAATAGGTAAAAGGTAAAGGACCCCTGGGCGGTTAAGTCTAGTCACCGTCATGGAAGCCAGAGTGCACAGGAACGCTGTTTACCTTCCCACCACAGTGGTACCTATTTATCTACTTGCACTGGTGTGCTTTCAAACTGCTAAGTTGGCAGGAACTGGGACAGAGCAAGGGGAGCTCACCCCATTGCGGGGTTTACCTTTATTCCCTAATGAATCACCAGCACAATACAGAAACTGCATTCATAAGCAGGGAAACCAGCTGCAACCTACATCTCACATTTTGCTCACATATATGCATCGCGTAAATAAAAAATTAATTTTTATTTACAAGACATTTCAGATAACAGCAGGTCCAAGAGGACAGTCGGTGAATTTATGCCTGTTCTGAAGGTCAGTCGGTGGATTTATGGCAGCCAAGTCAAACCACACCTAAGACAGATCACTCAAGGAAGTGAGCCAAACCACGGAGGACAAATGAGGCTACAGATTCACAGAGCGAACTGAAGACCGTTATACAGCAGATCACTCACGGTTGAGTGAGCCATCTTCACCACAGACTACAGTCGAGTCACAAGGTAGCATTCAAGGAATGAAGTACAGTGGTGCCTCGCAAGACGAAATTAATCCGTTCCGCAAGAGTCTTCGTCTAGCGGTTTTTTCGTCTTGCGAAGCAAGCCCATTGACGGATTAGCGCTATTAGCGCTATCAGCTGTTTAGCGGCTATTAAAGGCTTAAAGGCTTAGGGGATTAGCTGCTAAAAGGCTATTAAAGGCTATTAAAGGCTTAGCAGATTAGATAAAGGGGGGGGGGAGCGAAAAAAATCTCAAGACTCGCAAGGTATTTTCGTCTTGCGAAGCAAGCCCATAGGGGAATTCGTCCTGCGAAGCAACTTCAAAACGGAAAACCCTTTCGTCTAGCGGTTTTTCCGTCTTGCGAGGCATTCGTCTTGCGGGGCACCACTGTATCTATAAAACTTCTGCGAGTTGCACACTTCCTCCCGTACACTCGCTTAAAACAATCCTTCTCTTTCACACACATACACAGTCTCTCTTTCTCTTAACACACAAAAAACAAATTCACTTTCTCACACATATGGCCTCTTGCTTGTCCTGTGGGTTTGTGCTTCTAGAATAGGAGACACAATCAACTCTGTAGGACTCTCGCTTGCCTTCTTCCAATGTTTATGTTGTACTGAACTCCATTGACTGGGAAGCTGAAGGCAAAAATGGGTCTTCATAGATTAGGTTAGTCAAGTGTCCTGAACCCCCGGCCTACCTCGAAGGAAGTCAGTATGCCAAGTCCAAAACTCGAAAGTCCAGGGGTCAATCCACACAACCGATGTTCAAAGCTCCGGAAACAGAGTCCAACGCCAATCCAAGTAGCCAAGTCTGAAGTCCAGCAGTCCGGATACAGTCCAGAGTCAAACCCGAAACACAGTCCCATGGCGGTCCAGGAACATCCAAGCCAAGGTCCATCAACATGGGCAGATGAGCAGGCACAGCCCCTCTTTTGTACAGTGGTACCTCAGGTTACAGACGCTTCAGGTTACAGACTCCGCTAACCCAGAAATAGTACCTTGGGTTAAGAACTTTACCTCAGAATGAGAACAGAAATCGCGTGGCAGCGGCACGGCGGCAGCAGGAGGCCCCATTAGCTAAAGTGGCATCTCAGGTTAAGAACAGTTTCAGGTTAAGAATGGACCTTCAGAACGAATTAAGTTCTTAACCCGAGGTACCGCTGTATCTTACAGCATCTGGGCTTGTTGAGCATGTGACCCTCACCTGCTCCAAGCCTACAGCTGAGGCATCACACACCTCATCCCAGGGCTAGCAAGCCCCACCTGGCCACCTAGGGAGCTGGGCTATGGGCCCTTGCCTGCCTCAGCCTCCTAGAGTGCCCCTCCCACTGCTCCCTATGCCTCAGATCCCGCTGTGTTCGTGGAGACGGAGGCTACTCTGGCAATGGGTCCTCCTCTGGTACCTGTGCGTTGACCCCCATCACCTCGCCATCCTCCGTCACCCTATGGGTACTTCCTCATCCCCCGCTTGTCCCTGGTGTATCCCCGTCTTTGCTACGCCCCTCGCCGGGATCCTCTTCCTCCTTTTCCTCCCCCCTGTCGTCTTGCTACTTCACGACACTAAGCCAGAAAGTAAATTTGTACCTTCTAACAAAAGGTTTGAAGCTGCATTAAAAATCTAGGTATCTTTTTCTGAGAATCTTTCCTAAGGGTGAACACACTCTGAGTGTCCATCCTTATATAGCTGAAGTGGTATTATTATTATTATTATTATTATTATTATCATCATCATCATCATCATCATCATCATCATTATCATTTTATACCCCACTCCCAACAGAATATTAAAACATGATAAAACACCAAACATTAAAAACTTCCAGAAACATCATGCAAAAGGAGGAGGTATCAGCAGCTGTGGTGCAACTCCAGATTATTATTTTTTTTAAAAAAAACCTTTTTAAAGGTAGCTTAAAAATGTATATATATTAAGGGAAGACTGAAAATCAGGCCGGACACTTAAGTGTTTGAAGCAGGAAATAGCATTTAAATGAGAAGGATGCATGGTGCTGCTAGTTCAAATTGTGAGCTCCAAATGGGAAACAAAGTCCAATTGGTTTTGAAGTCTTAAACCTGAAAGACTGCTTGGCCCAGGTTCTAAGATCAGCTGAGAGCCTACTGTCTGTCCATAAGAGATGTTAGGCTGAGAGGATCCAGGAGCAGGGCTTTTTCAGTGGTGGCCTTGCACTTCTGGAATGCCCTCCCGAATGATGTTGGTATGGTCCAATCCCTGTGGCTTTTTTCAGAAAACCCTTACGAGGTTTTCATTTCACTCTGCTTTCTATTAATCTCCATCTAAGTGAAGTTGTCTTGCTTAATTTAAAGGGTGCAGAATCTGATTAATGTTGATATTGTTGTTCTTGTTTATAATTATTCAGGACTCCTCCTTGTGAGGGCAAAGTAGTTGGAAAGGCGGTTGTGTGGTTTTTTTAATAAATAAAAATAAATGTGAATTTTATGGCAGAGTTGTAGATAAAAGCCATCATAGAAATATATTACAGGTTATGAACTGGCCTATGCACTTCAGTCAATCCAGAAAAAAAGGACTACCCAATTTTGTAAATTACCTTCCTGTTCCAGTACATGTAGAAGTTATGCAACATTACAGGGGAAAAACATTAGCGTCTCGAGGGGAATGTGTGACAAACAGTGGTTAAACTGGCACATTCTAAAAGACTATGGGAAAATAGAAATTCCTTCCTTTAGAAACAATTTAATACTGGTTATAATTTACTGGAACATAGTTAAATCTTTTGGGAAGGTTGAGCAGGAAGTATTGGCTCTTTATAAGATAATGGCCTGCTTGGAATTACATGCAAGTTTTCTTTCTTTCTTGTGTGTACGTTTTTCTCTTTCTTTCCCCTGTTTTTGTATGT